TCTTATCATGATAGTTAAATCAAGGTTGAAATGGGGCAAAAAAAGCCATTAAGAAGTTAAACAAAGAGGTGTATAGAATTGAGTAAACAAAGTAAAAGAAGTAGAGTCATTGCATTATGCCCAAGTTAGAGCTTTTGATGATCCCTCTGAGCAGAGCTTTGGTTAGGTATCAATTGTGGAGAATAAGATGGTTGAGCTCAAGAAAGTAGAAGAGAGCATGTACAAGCAAAAATAAAGGATAAACTGACTTACCTTGGGGGAATAAAGCACAAAGTTTTTCCATCAGGCTATAAAAATTAGGACAACTAAGAAGGCTATAAGGAAGTTAGTGATGGATAGTGGAGAGGATCTCATGGATAGTAATCTAATATCAAAATATATTGTGAGATTCAACAAGAACCTGTTTGTTAAGGTAGACCCAATGATAAAACCAATAAGGGATAAGCTTGAGAGAATTATTAAGAAGAAGTTGGGTGATGCTGAGAAAGAGTTTATGTGTTCTCCTGTCACAACAACAGAGATTTAGAGTGTCGTCCTATACATGGATCCATATAAATCTCTAGGCCCCGATGGAATCTCAACAGGTTTCTATAGGAAGACTTGGACAATCAATGGAGATTATGTTACCACAACAGTGTTGGACTTTTTTCACTCAGGTCAGCTTCCTGGTCGTGTGAGCTCAACTGTTGTTACACCATTACCTAAGATCCACTCATATTGTACATTAAAATATTTTAAACATATCTCTTGAATCAACTTACTATATGATATTATTGCTAAGATCCTTGCCAGTAAGTTAAAGAAGGTGCTTCCTACTATAATACTGGTAAGCAATAAGCTTTTATCGAAGGTAGGCAAATTGTGGATAACATCTTAATGGCACATGAACTAGTAAGTGGTTGTCATAGAAAAAAATTCGCCTCATGATGTACAACTAATGTGGACTTGATGACAACATTTGATTCTGTTAATTGGGAGTACGTATTCTTGATGACAGTGTTTGATTCTATTGATTGGGAGTACTTGTTCTTGATGATGAACATAATGGGGTTCCCTGCATAGTCTATTAGATAGATTTCTACGTGTTTAAACTTCAAAATTCAGTGTATGCATGAATGGTGGATTATATGGTTACTTTGAGGTACAAAGTGGAGTTAGACAAGGTGACCCCTTCTAAACCTACATGTTCACGATTGTCATGGAAGGACTCTCTGTCATTCTAAATGATGATGGAAGTAGTGGATTGATCCTCAATCACCTGCAATGGATGTAACATACTTACCCTCATAAGCATAATTATATCATAATGACATCATTAGTGAACAAAACTTGCATATCGTCCTTATCCTGGAAATTGAGTGATCACGGTGGAGTAAGGGTTAGTGAATCAAAACTTAGTGATCAATAAAATTATTATATGGATTGGTGGTGTTATTGATATGGTAGGAGGGCTAAATTTTTAGAAATAAGAATTTAGATTGACTTAAGTGTGAAGTATAAAATCTGGGGGATTAAATGGCAATTGGGATGCCACTTGTTAGGGAAAGATTGGAAAGAGTGAGAGAGGGTTCTAGAGATGGAGGGATGCAAAAAAAAAAAAAAACTGCACCCCACCCGTTCTTTTTCATCTCTTTAAACCATCATTACCATAACTATGACTACCATCCTTTTCTTCCAATATCTAAAACCAAGGCCTTAGCTCAAGCACGAAAGGTTAGAGATCAAGGAAGAGAGATTTATAAGAGGTAAGAATGATCATATTTTCATCTTCTTCCTTCTTACTCAAGCTAGAACCATAAGTTTAGATATAGTTTTAGAACACAAAGCATGAATGATCTCATCATCACAATCTTCCACAATAGAATCCAAATAAGGGGTAGAAGAAGAGACACCTTTAGATTTTTTTTTTATCTTTCCAAATGCTTTCATAATGAGCAAATAGCTCAATTTTAACATTCTTCCATCTTCTGTCAAACGTTCTCCCTTGCTATTTTCAGGATAAACTCTTTTGAACCCATAATTTACAAACCTCAACTTATATCTCGGATCCATCATAGTAGAAATGTAAAGAAGCTTGTTCATCTTATGAACATCCCCCAATACTTCTCATATTTCACCTTCATCTTTGTAGCCATGACACTCAAGTCAATATCTTTCCCAAATTCAGCTTCTCACTTGTGCTTTAAATGATATAGAGAATGAACTTCTTGTAAGAATAATTTAGAAAGAGTGTAAGCCGTACTTGAGATCTTCAATGTGAAGTGAAGCATAAAATTGACTCAAGAATCCCATCATCCTCCTTGCATTTTCCCAATCAATCGACTCGAGCACCCTAGCACACCTTGTTTGTCTTTCTTAATTTCAAAACCATTATGAAATTTCTCATCATGCATGCCATACATCATAAACACCTTATCAAATTCTTCAGCTACTTGCAACATAAAGAATGTCGAGTTCCACCTTGTGGAAACATCAAGACATAAGCCACGTTTCCCTTGAATCTTCTGAACTATGGCAATCTCATTAAAATTTCTCAACCTCTCAAGTGAGTTCCTCAAATACCTCACTGTTTCTCTAATTCTCTTCACTGACAAAGAAATGTCTCTCGATCCATCATATTCAATCAAGTTTAAAATGTAAGCCACCCATTTCACATGAATGAAAACATTATTACATATACTAGAACCTCTAGTATTAACATTTCCTTCAAATGTGCCATAGCTGTATCATTAGAGCTAGCATTGTCCACAATAATAGTGGAGACCTTGTCAATCCCCCAACCATCCAAACAAGAAATAATACCTTCAGAAATATCAACACTCTTATGGCCTTTGAGTTCACAGAAGTTATGATCTTTTCCTCAACTTCTATTCATTGTCAATGAAGTGAGCAGTTAAGCAAATGAAACGATTTTACTTATTTGAAGTCCATGCATTAGAAGTAAAACACATCCTTCCTTTAGAACTTTTAAAAAGTTTTTCAATTTGTCTTTCATCTCACCATAGAAATCAAAACAATCTCTAGTGATTGTTTTTCTATAAGGGCGTTGAATTTCGTGCAACATTGAGATAAGATGGAAAACAATATCATGCGAGACCTCGATTCTAAGAAGCAACTCTGGGCAAGTGATACGACATACTTACACATATTTATTTCCTCATTCATTGATCACTTGAGCTCATCTTCTTGCGTATTAAGCCTATTTTATGCTAGATTTGTTTATTTGTCATCTTTCCGGTCCTAGCAAGTGACTTGAGGCATAAGCGCAATTTTTTGGTCAATCGAAGGTGGGCAGGTGATACGCCATAATGACATATTTATTTCCTCATTCCTTGATCGCCTGAGCTCATCTTCTTGCATATTAAGCCTATTTTACGCTAGGTTTGTTTATTTGTCATCTTTCAGGTCCTAGCAAGTGACTTGAGGCATAAGGCATAAGCGCAAGTTTTTGGTCAATAGAAGGTCATTTGGCGACTCAGAAGTGAGGCAGAGGAGGAACACGAGCAAGCTTAAAGAGAACATGGGTGTGCTCGGTGCCCGTGTTCTATCCAGAAGCTCGGCCAGCCATCCATGCATAACACGGTTAGGGTAGAAGATAAACACGACCATGTTCCAAATGGAAAGAGGTCGTGTAATAGGCATCGAGAGGAAACACGGCCTCCACAAAGGAGAGAAACACGGCCATGTTTAGTCCTTTAGAGATCTTGGTTTAGCTACCGGGAGGAAACACAGACACGACCGTGTTTTTCCCAAGGGTGGCTGTGTTTAACCCAGAAGATCCTTAAGTGAAATGGTTCGTTTTGAAGAAACACGAACATGGCCTGGAATACAATCGTGTTTCATGCCTGTCTTCTGCCCATAAGCTGGTTTTAAGCCAATTTCGGGATTTTGAGAAGGGATCTGACTTTTGATAGAAAAACCAGCTGTAACACCCTAACCTCGCCGGATACTACTTTTACCAAAATACCCTTGTTAAATTGAAAATACTCAACAACCATAAAGGCTAAAAGCAGCGGAAAAATTTTCAAAAAAATAAAATACTGAGAACACACTCTTGTAGTTCAAGGCAACGCCCTAACACATGAGCAAACTCAATACTTAAAATCTCAAAATGATCTCCCATCTATACTCATAATCAGAAATGTAAATAACTAATAATCTCTAATGTTGTTGCTACTGAAAACCTTGACTAAGCATCCTCCGTGACGCTTATACTGCCCTCCTCTAGTTGGCTGCCCTCGAACTCGCTGCTCATTAACTACTCCCCTAGCTCCTCTTCTAACTATTCAAACTGGTGAGTGAGATGGGGTCAGTCTACGCCCTTACGTTTAACATCTTATTAATACTTGATCACTTTACTTAACTGAGTGGAAGTTGTTTTGTACTTCAACTATTAAAAAGCTTAACTCTTAAAACTGTATGGAAGTTACTGTTACTCTCCATTCTTAAAGCTCAAATCTTGACTTAAATACTTGACTGACAAGGGGATCCCTCACTAGCTAGTCCGGCTGCCAACTCATACGTATGAGAGCCCATCCAGGCTTTCCTTAAACTTAAACTTATCATGGAAGACTCTTCTTCCACGATTCTCAAGAGCATAACTGCTTCTCATCTTAAAAGTCTCAAGAGCATAACTGCTGCTCTATCTCAAAATCTCAAATGGCAACGGACTGGCGCTAGCGAATAAAACTCTTAAAACGGTTTCACCTTCTTGAAGGTGAAGTACTTCTTAAAAAGAACTTGTTTCTTAAACTTTAACAATCACTCATAACGTAAAGCTTTAAGGTAATTAAATAACACACATTCACTTCAAATCATAGCTCAAACAAATCACATATAATCAACCACAAACATACTCAAGCAACGGTAACCACTTTGCTAAAATACTTAAAATCGTAATACTTAAAAGAATACGTAAGGTGTAGAATTTACCCCCTTTACACTCACCTTACTTCCGTCGGAACTGGCTCTGATTTTGCTCTAAAATTTCCATACTCACTTCCAAAATATTGTCCTTATTATTGTAGTGTCCGCACTCCATGCAATCTTCTACGGTTAAGCATTAAGCAGGCAGCTCTCGTCAGGAAGCATCTGGGACATCCACACTTCATTCATCCAAGTCAGTGCGAAGACGGTTGGAACAATAAGATAAGCAAGCTGCTCTTGTAAGGAAGATAGATGCTCTCGTAGTAGGATTGGCACGGAATGATTTGGGTCCAGCTTTGTAACCGATAGGGCTGCTTTTCTCTTCGTCGATCCCCATCCTCGGCCTAAAGTGCCTTCTACCAAGTACCAGGCACGTGCATGGTAGGGAGGGCGTCCTCCGGGTTGCTTGTCCTCGCCACCCCCACTCGTGTCCAAGTTGCTTCAGTGCTTAGGCAGCCTGGTCTCATAGTAGAGAGGGGCGAAACAAGGAGTCGAGGGAGTGGCTACGAGCAGCGGCAGGTCCAACCCATCTCGACCGCCCTGGCCGCCTGCTGAATCTTTCCCCGCCTTCTGCTTGCTTAAGCAGCAGCTGTCATAGTAGAGGGAGAACAACAATATTGGCCGCTCGACAGACAGACCGCTTGTGCCGGAGTTCCGCCCTCGACTTGCCCTCCTGGTAGAGGGAGAACAACAATATTTCCCGCTCGACAGACATACCGCTTCCGTCGGACTTCTGCCCTCGACTTGCCCTATTGCTTGCTTAAGCATGCAGGTCTCATAGTAGAAGAGAATCAAGAGAACAATTGCGTAAGGATGTGTGAGAGGGCGACCACTTTAACGCTGATAAGACCGCGTGATCGATGGGATTAGTGTTGGGTAGGGTTTTGATTAACTTGAGGGGTATCTTGGGCATTTCATAAATTACGGGTGAGTTTAATCTGAAACTCAACTAACGTGCGTAACTTCCTCGATTTATGTTGAAACTCGGCACCGTTTGAACCGAGAGGTCGCATTTTTAGTCCTCATGGATATTACGATAGAATTTGACAAATTTCACCAAGGATATAATAGTTATTTTGAATTTTGGGAAGAGCGGGGTGTAGCAACAACTATAGAGAGAGAAAGTGACAAAGAACCGTACCTTGGAGCTGATTTGAGCCTAAATTTCACCATTGAAGCTCAGATTTCGCACCTCAAAGAGCATATCGACATCCCGAAGCATATCATATACATCTTTATGAGTGTGACTACTTAAAACATGGTTTTCCTCTCTCTCTCTCTCTCTCTCTCTCTCTCTCTCTATGGAGTAATCTCTTCTCTCACTTGGGTATGAAGACCCTAGTTTCATGTGTTAGGAGAATGTTTGTATAAACCTTTGGATATGTGAATTGATTGATTATATTCAATTGAGGTATTATTCATGATTAATTGAATGGTCACATTCTTTCGATTATTTCTTTAACCTAGGAGAGAGAAAATCTTATTGGGTTAAGAGAACATCCTCAATTAGAGGTACTGGATCAATTGCACGAATAGTGAATCAATTCACTACTCTATACTAGACACTAGAGCACTTCTATTATGTTATATAGCATCGGTGCTATAATGTACAACTTAAAGTTGTACCATAACATTACATGTATAAGTTTAGGTTGTACCATGAAGAAATTTGTATCATTATGTTATGGTACAAATTTACAACTTGAAGCTGTACCATCAAATAAAAGTTCAAGTTGTACCATAAAGAATTTGTACAAAATGTATAGGTACAATATGAAGTTGTACCATAACGTTAAAGGTACAATTTCATATTGTACCATAAAGAAAGAAAAAAAACTATTGCACCAATACTATATAGCATTGTGAAATTCCTCCTAGACACTATTCCAGAAGAAGATGTCTATTTGCATTGCCTTGGCATTTTAGTTCGGTTGAGGATAATCTTCCTCCGCCTAATATATTTAAGCGGGCTTAGTCTGCTTTAGTCGAGATGTCGAACTAATACCGAACTTTCTGCAGTATAATAATCAATGAACTTAACAAAAGAGGAATTACAACTTTGACCAACCTACGGACTAGGGGGACACATAACTGAGTAACCATTTGCATATGAGTTCGAATCAAACTTCCATCTTCCATCTTTGTTACTTTAGCTTTAGTAATCGACATCATAACATGGTTGCTAGGTAATAGATTGTTTGCCGAGTAATAATATATCTAAACACCATGTTAACATTAGAGCTTTGTTCAACTATACTACTTCCTATTTTGTGGTTACACTTGGCCACTAATTAGAGTGTTGGTAAAAGCTAGTCAGTAGGACATTTTCGTGTTTCTAAAATTAAGAAAAGAACCAGAGAGAAACAAAATTAAGAAAGAGGGATTTTGATAAAAGTTGTGTCTAGACTAGAGTGGTAAAATCCGCTTATATGATTATCAACACTTAAGGGTGGTAAAATCCATAGAAGAATATTTTGATCAAAGTTGCGTCCGGACTAGGGTGGTAAAATTTAAGTAATATACTTACCTAGACAGGATCAACTAGCGATCGACATGTAGTCTAGGCCAACGACCTCCATTGCACTTTGTGGAAGGATGTTGGGCTAAGGTCCCCCAATGTGAATTCATCGGAAAAAAATCTATGGAACATCTCGAACCTTTTACCGACAAGATATTGTCGGCTTTGGCCTAGACCCAAAGCAAATTTTGTATCAGGGTGTATGTCAAGGTGACTTCTCATGAGGTCACTTATCCTTGCAGTACTCCACAACAAGCACGTTTAATATCGAGTTCTCACAAAATTTCCTTCATTTCACCCAAAACGTGTTTTGTCAACTAAATTCAGTTTCTTACTTATGAACTATGAATATCTTGTATATTTTGCAATGTTATTAAAGCCGAGCCAAGCCGCTCGGTCAGACCGGTAAAACCGTCACCCGGTCACAAAACTCGCTCGGAACAGTCTAAGAACCACTCCGGTTTTATGTAGCGGTTGGCGAGCGGCCGAGGCGGTTAACCGCTCGAGCCGATCGTCCGGTTTTTGCCATTCATACGTTAAATTTAATTAAAAAAATTGTATAAAATTGAAAATTGAAATAAACCAAAAACGTCGGGCTCTCAAACTGAATCCTTATTTCCATTTCACAATTTCGAAGGAAAGAGACGAGCTCTGATTAAGAAATGTCCACTATTTATACTGATAACATTTATTAGGTATCGGTTCTCTAACGGATTTTAAACGGTCTAATTCTGGTTGGACCGTTTGCATTACCAGGTCATGCTCCGGTTTGGTTATGACAATATTGATATTTTGTCAATATAAAATTCGCCTTACACCCCAATCTTAAAACAAAAGCAAAGAAAAAAGAAAGGGAAAATTGCAAGTTTGGTCACTGGAATTACTTAAAAATTTTACGTTTACCAATAAAATTAATTTATTTCATCCATAGTCACTAGAATTAGTTTAATAGTTCAAGTTTGGTCACTCTCTGTTAGTCTCTGGTAAACTTTTCTGATGTGCCAGTCAACTCTATTAGTTGACCGTTAAACTAGTGATGTGTCAAATAAAAATTAATTAAAAAAATAAAAATTAATCTTTTTAATTTCCACCTCAGTTTACCAATAAAGATAGGCAAAATACACTTGTATAGCCAAAACTTTCACCTTTGTGCCACTTATAGCCACATTTAGCGAAATACCACTAATAGCCACTTTTGAAAGATGTTGTGTGCCAGATATAGTCATTTCCGTTAGAAACTATGACGGTGTTAATAACTCCGTCAACTTATTTGACGGTTGGCTGACGAGGTGCCAAATCATCAACCACATCAGCGACAGCTAAGCAAAAATTGACACGTCATCTTAATTATTTATTTATTAAACAAAAAATTAAAAACTTTCCCCATATACCTGATCTGTCGAGGCTTCCAAAAATCCCCATCTATTTCCAGAAAACGAAATTAGGGCTTCCTTCTTCTCCATCTCTTTCTAGAAAACCAAATTAGGGTTCTTCCCAAATTTCCTCTTCCCCACAAAGGAGATACACGAAGCTGATCGATGCTTACTCCTCTCCCCCAAATCTTCTTCTAGTATGCTCTGACTCGGCGCTTCTTCCTTCTTCCCCAAATCCCACCTCTGCTCGGCAGATTCGCGGCCCCGAAATCGCGATTTCTCCTTCCGAGAACTTCACGAGGTCAGCCATGTCCAAGCGAGCATCTTCCCCAACTTCGACTAGCATCAATAGCCGAGGGGCAGTACTCTGTTGGCACAAGAAGCCATGTGTGGTGAATACATCTGGAACCGAAGCGAACCCAGGAAGACAGTTCTATGGGTGTCCATTTTGGATGGTAAGGTGTTTAGAAATGGGTCTTTGATGATTGTCATTGATGTGGGTTCTAAGTTGAATGCTCCTATGGTGCAGGACGAGAAGAAGAACTGTCGTTTTTTTAGGTGGGTGCGAATGAATGTTGATGAAGATAAGCACCATGATTCTGAAATTGATCCTTCGTCAGCATGAGAGCCAACAGATCCTTCATCTTCGCGTTCATTAGCATGAGAGGCAGCAGGATCTTCCTCTTCGTGTTCATCAGCCAAAGCATCATCTTCATCATCAGATTCTTCTTCTTCAAAATCATCCAGCTACTCGACCTCCTCCCCATGGCCATCAATCCGCGCCTTAACCTTTCTTTTCCTCATCTCCCCATAGGCTCGTAGGTTTGACCTTGCCTCGTGGTATTCGTCGTCAGAAGTATCAGCGTCGTCTGAGTCATATACGTGGTATATGTCTCTAGCAACAGAAGCCTCAATTCCATCTTCTGCAGGCAAGGAGAAATCTGATACTACCACAACCTCTGGATCGTTCTCCCCAAAAGCAGAGTCCCAAGAATCAGCCATCTGTCATCAAGCTTTAATCAGTTTTTTAATCACCATTAACCACGTGATTAAACAATGCTCACACTATTTTAATCGCTACCAAACAAATGGTAAACAAATGCTAACCTTATTCAATTCTAGGATTCGTGGGAATCAAAGAGGAATAGACAATTCTAACCCAGTACATCGACTAACTGACCTTCAATTATGGGGGCAAACTCGCCAAAAAATGATCAATCGAGTGGTCCCGAGATTCCTCTGCCTTGTCGCTTTCTTGTCTTTACAGCTCGATACCAACCAAACAACAAAGAGAAGCAGTAAACTATAAGAACCTTCACCCCACAATCCACAACCACAGTAACAAAGCAAGAACAGAACCTTACTAGTCGCGACACAAGAGTGGGAGCAAAAATTCCCCTTTCAAGTGCGATTAGGGTTTCGACGAACCCAGTCAAATCGCGAATTGCAAGGGTCGATTCCGAGATTCCTTCAAAGCAAACAACACAAAACAAGCTTCGAAGGACTCCGCCAAAGCTCGCCTGCGGTTGGTCAACCCATTGGATGCATGGATGTTTTTATCGAAGGAGGATACTCGGGACTGGAGGAAAAATCGGGACTGGAGGTTTTTGGGAATTTCGATGGTGGGGGAAGGAAGAGAGGTTGGGTACGCTGGTCGTCGGAGGCAGATCGTCGCCTTCGTTGACTAAGCCGCCTTCGTCACCTTCGAATATGGGTGGGTGAATTCGACCGAGGAGAAAACGAAGGAGTAGATAGAAAGTAGAAATCGACGACGGTGTAAAAATTAGGGATTTTGTTTTTTTTTTAATTATTATCCACGTGTAAAATGCAGGCTTGACACGTAAGCCCTTTCGTTTGCCCAGTCACACTTAACGTTAACAGCGTTAAAGAATCGGACGGAAGTGGCTATTGTGGTATTTCGCCAAATGTGGCTATAAGTGGTACAAAGGTGAAAGTTTTGGCTATGCAAGTGTATTTTGCCATAAAGATATAAATTAACTGAATTGCTATTCGTCGCCCTAAATTTCAAATTTTATCGCCCTAAAATGCATAAAATTGACACTCTTGCCCCTCTGACCCCATTCCTTTTGGTGCAGCCGCCGCCGCATCTTCTCGGCAGACTTCCTCTTCATTAACAAGCTTGGCTCCGGTGGTGGTTTTCGCTCTGCCTTCTCTGTTTTCTTCTTTACCTGTTATGCATGCGGGCTTTTAGCCTTCTCTCTTTTGTATCCCTTTTGTTCCCTTTCTCCATGTACACTTCTGGTGTATTAGAAAGGCAATAAAATTCACTTTCATCTATAAAAAAAAAAGCTTGGCTCCATTTGTGGCAGAGGCCAGAACTGCCGCCATCGATTGCACCATCGCCACCACCTAGGCCAAAAACCACCGCGGCCCCTGCAACAATACGACAACCGTCTTTCTAGTGCCGGTACGACACTCGGCCGGACCCTACTCAACGGCGACGAGGAGTACTTCCAGTTCTGCACCTTCTCCTCCCGATTTCAAAACCCCAACTTAGTTGGAAAGAATTTGTTAAGGGTATTAAAGTAAAATTAATTAATTTAGGGCGATGAATAAAAAATTTTAGGGCGACGAATAGCAATGCCCTAATTATGATCACCAGCCACCGACCCGGAAAATCCAAAGATTTCGTCCACCCCTCCTTCTCCGCTGCCGTAAAACCCTCTAGCAAAGACGGGGAAGAAGAATGGCGGCCGCCACTAGTTATAGACTTCCCCAAAACGACCAAATTCACATTCTCCGGATCCACGACTCGAATACAACGGTACCCTGCCCCGACTCCATCGTATTCCCAACTCGAACGAAATCGATAAAAACGATCGAAGCAAAAACCCCAAAAGGGTCCTGAAAACCAATTACACCATGAACGACGGGTTTCCGCTGGGGATATCCGTCGATGGGAAAACTGACAATCATAGAGCTCGATCAAAAGCTATTGAACAAGGAGAGCAGCGCACCGATGACGATGTTTTTGTTGGGCTTTTGACTAGATTGAAAAGCAGAGCGTTGAATCCTCGATAACCTAATTGAAACCCAGCATCTTCTCCTCCTCGCGAGGGAGAAGCACTAAAGGAGGCGAGCGAGGAGAAGCCTTGATAGGCAGAGGCCAGCACGAATGAGAGGAGAACTGCGACGGTCTTCGGAGAGGGGAATCGCAGGCAGGGAGCTGGAATCAATGGGGAGACAAATCAGCAAAGAGAGAGTCGAAGGGGAACGATCTGGTTCTCCTCCAGTTCTTCTCCCTCCAGGGCTCTGACCGTAATGGGAATCGCATCTTCTGCGTCGTCGGCAAGCACTTCCCGAGTAATCAATCAATCGATCAATTGCCCTTTGGTATCATTCCAATCCCTCTCTTGTTGCCGCCTGTCGGGTTTCTACCCCGGGGACGCCGTCGTTGCAGGAGCTTTGGAGGGCGTCGGGCGTCTTCTTCAAATTTCCCCTGTGTGCTCTGTGGGTTTCGATTCAGAGGGGTTGACGGCGTCGGAGAAGATGCTAGGTTTCGATTAGGTTATCGAGGGTTTTACGACAGCGGAGAAGGAGGGGTGGACAGAATCTCTGGATTTTCCGGGCCGGTGACTGGTGATCATTATTATTAAAAGATTATAATTAATTTTTATCTTTATTATTAAAATGAGTTGGAAATTAAAAAGATTATTTTTTTTATTTTTTAATTATTTTTTTTATCTTCCACGTCACTAGTTTAACGATAAACAGTTTAACGATAAACTATTAGAGTTGACTGCCACACCAGAAAAATTTAACAAAGACTAACGGAGAGTGACCACTGTACGTGTGCACTAGGCCGTGCCGCCCACGAGCTAGCACGACACGGCACGGTTAGAGCACGGCACGAGCACGGGCACGGAATAAATGGGCCAGCCCGGCACGAGCACGAATACTTTATGGGTCATGCCGGGCCTAAACTTCATGGGCACGGGCACGACACGGTATATAAGTGGGCCGTGTCGGGCCTAATATTTTCTAGACTTTATTGAGTAAAAGAACGGAATGGTACCAAAATAATATTTATTTAATAGAAAATAAATATGAAAAGAATTATAGGTTCAAATATTACAAAATACAAGTAGAAAAATAATTATTTGTTTTTGTTAGAAGTGTCATAAAGATATACACATAATTACTAACATAAGTAAAAATGGACAAAGAATTAAACAAAGCCAAATCACACTCGCTATACTTCCAATTTTCTTTTCCCGCTTATTTTTTACCTTTATCAAACATTATCGGTTAATACTATCTTCCCCCGTCCAATTTTCACCTTCTTTTTCATTCTCTCTTTTGTTTTCGTCATTTTCATTAAACACGAATACGAGCATGGCACGAGAACGAATAGGCACGACATGATTCGAACCGTGCCCAAGCCTAGCAAAATTAACAAATGGGCTTGCATGGCACGACACGAAAACTGACGAGCCGTGCCAAGCACGACACGAAATAAATGGGCCCGAAGCGTGCCCGTGTCGTGCCGGCCCAAGCACGGCCCAACGCCCATGTAGAGTGATCACTGACCACACATGAATTGTTGAACTAATTTTAGTGACTACAGGTAGAATAAATTAATTTTAGTGGCAAACATGAACTTTTAAGTAATTTCAGTGACCAAACTTACAATTTACCAAAAAGAAAAGAGGCAATCACGTCCCACCCATTTCTCCGGACTTGCCACATGGAAGTTTCTTACGTCGTGGATCTCTCCCTTCTACTTGGGCCCACTCGGTCCCATGTCGGAGGTGTGAACGTAATAGGTTTCAAATAATCAAACTTCTGTAGTACATGGATCGATTGTGGATCCCCCAACAAAATTAAAGAAAGCCAAATGGAACGGAGAGGGCTTTTAGTCGTCGAGGTGCTTTAGTTGGATTTTCGTCAAACAAAAACATAATACAAAATTGAAGGAGAAAAATATGTTTTTTAACCAAAAAAAAAAAAAAAATTAGGAAGATGGGAAAAGGAAAATAACAATAGCGAAAGAGGAGAAAAAAATTAAGAAAGGTTTTAGATACAGAGCGAGAAACAAGGCGCGGGGAAGACCGTCCCTTCTCAACAAAATACAGACGAAGCAGCCATAGCCGCGCCGTGCAGGACAAACAGTTAGCTTTAGCGATCCATGGAAACTTGACCAAGGAATTGCAAAGCCCAGCCAAACACACCGCCATTTCCTCGGAAATTTTGAAGATTTTTCACGAAAGGAAAGCAAGGACGGGGAGATTGTGTACGGAAGGCGTTTATTTTTGTAAACTTTTGTGTTGTTGTTGCAGATCCTCCTCCGTCGTCCGGGAAATCGGAAGCCGGGGACTAGGGATCCGTCTTCTGCTGTCATTTTATTTCACCTGCTCCCCTTCCCCCGTATTTTCCCAGCTCAAATCCATTATCGATCAATCAGCTTTTGATCCTTTCCAAATGCCATTGTGTAATTCCTTCATCTCTCTCATTTTGTCCCTTTCGCTACTCTTGCCATAGGAATTTCTCTGGGTTGGGAGAGAGACTTCCCCCGTCTTTGTTCAATTCTTGGCTTCTTGGAGCTGAGCGAGGGGCGGAGACGAAGATCCTTCTAGATATACCGGCAATCTAGAAGGGCTCGGATCTGTTTTAGTCCGGTGACCGAGTCGTCGTCGGATGAGGGAGGAAGCGCAGCGGGAAATTTTCAAAAGAAGCAAACGATGAAATGGGTAACATTGCTCAAGGACTTTAAAGAGAAGGTCGGATTAACTCAAGCTCCAGCTGCTCCTTCTTCATCCTCTCCTGCTACTGCCGCTGCTTCTTCTTCTTCCCCCTTTTCTGCTTATCCATCCAATCGGAATAGCAATGCTTCCCCTTCTTCATCTTCCCTTTACCAAGGCTACAACGCTTCCCCCGAGAGGTTAGTTCGTCTTCTTCCATAAAGTCGCTGCATTCTTTATCAGACGAATTGCCGGCTGGATATTCCACCTCATCTTGTTTGACTTGTCTTGCTCGGATCACAATGGCATTGATCTGCATTTCGGTATAATGACCACAGTTGGCTGATTATCTGTCACTTTCTTGCAGCTACGAACTTATATTAGTTGGTTCAATTGGCACCTTGGGGGACTCCTCCCCTACTTCATGCTTAGATGTACCTTTTGATTGTGATCTTCTATGGTCAGGTTCTTGGGGTTTTGGAATGGGCTATGTTTCACTCTCTGATTAATTTGTATAATGCTGTAGCAAATGCTGATTCAGACTTTTAGAACAAGTGGTGCTGAACTTGTTAGAGATGTGGGTAGGTGGAATAGCGGATAGGATTATAAGAACATCAGTTTTGCAATTAGGGTAGTATGCAGACATGGACACTTTTCTTGTGTTCATGCTTTGTGAATCTCAGTAATTTATGCATCATAGTGTCTTAGGTAATTGATCTCCTGTTATCCTTGGGTGATGTTGATAGTTAGGAACTTATGATATTAGTAGGATGTTTTAGGATCGTAGGAGTGAGGAAGAGCTTCTTCATTTTTTTTTTTAATCTTTTGAAGGCACCCCCTATCTTCTCATCCTATTGGGTGGAGATGGAGATGCACTTCTCTTCTTGACTATCCTATCCCTATCGAATTCGTTGCATCAAATCCAGAAACAAATTAGCAATAATATAATGCTGGGTAAGGGGATATAAATATAAAAGGCTGGAAAGAGAATGAGTTTTGCTTTTGTGCTTGGCTGGGCAAGTATAAGGTGGAATCTTGTTATTGTATATCTGTATATGAGTATTGTAGGCTGGGAGTAATTTAAGTTGTTTACTTAGGGGTAGTGATGATTAACGTTAAGTGCCATAAAGATAATTCTAAAGGAAAGTCGTGGAGAAATTAGTGGGATGCTTCTGTTGCTATATGCCTAGTATTGGTTTAACGTTAAATCATCTAAAACATATTCTTATGTAGCTTCAGCTAGGGTTGAAGGTGCCGCTTTATTTAGAAAAATGATGCTGTTACCTTCCATCAATTTATGTCTTGCGTCTCAGTTTCCTACTCTTGTGGATTGCATACTGGCTGCATGCTTTTTACCTGTACACATTATTCTTCTCTAAGAAACTGAAAATAACATCTCCCATCTCATGTAGATAGTTTTTCATTCTTTCTGAAGACTGCATGTCTTTTGGAGATGGCTTCACTGCACAGTTGCATGTTTTGCTTTGATAACTTGCCCTAGTACGACATAAATCTAGTGGGTTGATTTCAGCATATTTGTAGCTGCGGCCTATATCTGTGAAATTCAATAATATTGTAAGGCACCTGTTCATGTGGTCTACTGTTCCCTTGCAGAGATAGACATGAATTGGAATTGGACTTCAAGAGATTTTGGGAAGAGTTCCGCTCATCCAGCTCTGAGAAGGTTTTCATCTTCTCTAAAATCATTTTATATGATATTCCATCTCATTTTGATACTTCAGTCAATACTTTTCTCTTCAACAAAAGAAAGTTCAGTGCTGAATAATAGTGCTCATTAGTTGCTTATTGTCAATGCAGGAGAAAGAAATGGCCCTGAACCTTACCGTAGATGTCTTTTGTAGATTAGTGAGGCAGCATGCTAATATAGATCAGTTAGTTACCATGTAAGTTCATTGCTTTTCTTTCTTTGGCACTATGAGATTGAAACTTCTTGCATTCCACTTTAATCTAAAGTTCGTGAGAAGCTTTACAGTGTAGGCATGATTTCTAGCCTTGATTCCCTTTGATAGCTCTGCATCTTGATAGTTCTGCAAATTTTTGTTTGCCAGGACTTGAATATTCTTTTCCCATTTGGAAATTAAATGAAATTGTTGGGTAGTTTGTTTTCTTTTGAACTTTTTTAATGAAGACATAAAGCTTTTCTGCCTGTTAGTTGTCATTGATTACCTTCTGAACATTGTTTGAATTTCAGGTTAGTTGAAACCCACATATTCTGCTTTGTTGTTGGAAGAGCATTTGTAACTGATATCGAGAAGATTAAAATTAGTAGCAAAACAAGATCTTTGGATGTAGAGAAATTGCTGAGATTCTTTTCGGAGATTTCAAAGGTTTGGCTTTTAATTATTTTCTCAAGATTCCTTCTTCTTGATTGTTCTGACAATAATTGCTTCAATTGTTAATTTTTTTTTTTTTTTGTGTTTTTGCTGCAGGAAGGTATTAGTGCTGGATCAAATTTGTTAACGGCTTTAGAAGTCCTTGTATCTGGGGTACGTTTTGTTTCTTATCCCTTAGTTTGACTGAAATGAAAGGAAAATGAAATTTGGAAGATGTATAGATATGCATAAACTAATAAATTTCATCTCGTTCCACACGCGGTTTATGCTTATTATTTATATTAGCGATTTCTTTTTTTATTAGTCCTTAGTGCTTTTGTACTTCCTGCTTTGCTAAGAATGTAGGCCATTTGGCTCCCTAGTTTCCACTATTCCTTCAAAATTCCAGCTACATTTGCTACAGCACTTTTCCCCTATTACTTAACATCGATTTATTGTTTTATTTGATTTTTCCCCTTCTATCGCATTTTGACTTTATTCTCTATGCAGCCCATTGACAAACAATCCCTTCTGGATTCCGGGATATTATGCTGTCTCATCCAGATTCTGAATACCTTTCTGAGTCCTGAAGCCATTCAATTGCAAAGGTCTACTGATACGGAAGAAAAATTGTTACTTGGAGGAGACCATGATAATGAAGTTGGGGAGGTTCCCCGCCTTGAGGTATGTTTATTACTTCTAGTAACTTCAGCAAAACCCAGATGTTTTTATTGTGCGCTATGTCCACCTTTTTGGCTGTTCTTATTAAGGAAGATGAAACTGCAGAGGTCCGGTATAGTGCATTTTGCATCTGCACTTTTTCGTATCATATTGATAAACTTTGGTGGCTCCCTTTCTAGATCTAGTTTTCTGCACTTACGTCCTGCAATCACTTATGTCGTTTTTTACACCCAATGAGGCAGTTTCCAGTTGAAAGGGATTCCTTTGTTATTTATGAAACAATACATTTTCAAGTTTAATCCGGACTGAATACTTGAAAGTGAATACCCGTGCCCCTTCTTGTATTCAGTATGAGATCAGATTGTTGAGTTTATGTTGTTGAAGTACTGCAGACTTCAGCTTGGTGAGACATGAATGTGTGGGGGCAGCTATGTTTTCTGGGATAAATACTTAATTGGAAGTAGACTTGCTTTTTGTAGAGTTGGATTCATCAAATATCTACTGTTCCAGTAGTACATTTTTGGAAAGCTAACTTTCTCTTGGATAGACCTATGCTTGTGCTTGCATAAGTAGTTTTGCCATCTTTTTTTCTGCATTGGAATGCTTTCCCTGTGATATCAACCTTTAATTATTGTTTTGACTTGTCTGGCTGAGTTGGTGTCATGAACCAACAATAAGTCAATTCATCAATTCTGAACACAAATCATGCAGTAGTTGCCTTAGGCAGTACCTAGCAATGCCCTTAAAATATCTAATCATTAGTTTTCATACAGGTGGAGGGACGAGTTGTACACATTATGAAAGCACTGGCAAGCCATCCTTCAGCAGCACAGTGTTTGGTTGAGGATGATTCACTTCAGATGCTTTTTCAGATGGTTGCCAATGGATCTCTAAAGGTCTTCTCTCAATCCAGAGAAGGTCTTCTTTGTCTGCATAGCATGCAACTTCATAGACATGCGATGCAGGTAGTTATAGCTTCTGTGCTCTGTTTACTGTTTTATGGAAAAATTACGGAAAACTGCCTCATGGCTGATATCTTTGTTTTGGATTATGTTTATTGCAGATACTCGGCCTTCTTTTGGTCAGTGACAATGGAAGCACTGCCAAATATATACGCAAACACCATCTGGTATTGACTCACATCCCATTTCAATACATAAAGAGCCTTGAGCTCTTGTGGCCACTTAGCAAAGTTACATGGAGTAATATTGTTAGATTTGGTTATTTCTACCATTGTAGACTTATGGACTAGTTTTGTTTCATGTGATCCATGTATCTGCATGTGTTATTTTCGTAAAAAGCTATCATTTCTTTTGGAAGAAGAAACTGTTATACCGGTAATGGCTACAGCTTAGAGCAAACTTGTAAACCTTGGACTGACATGCATACCACCCTTCTAGGGGCTTGGACATTTAATATGTACCTGTTGGTGCCGTGCTTTGTTGAGTTCTTCATAATCAATTTTTGATCTAGTTAAGGTTGTTTTCCCATGGCATACTCTTGAATGATGGACCTTTTATTGGTTCACTCATGCCATCTAATTTGATTACGTAGAAGTATGGGATGTGCTTATTCAGAGTATTTCGACCTTGTTTAACCTAGTTTTGGTCGTTTTCCATGACCTAATTTTATTTAATGTGTCTTTCTCAAATCTTGACTTGTTAATTTAATCAGTATAATTGGTGCTTCAGTTATTGCTTTTCCTATGTTCGGATGTTTAATTCTGCAATTTCCTCTTAATTTTAGCTTAGGAATTTAATTGCAATTTCCTTGTTCATGTGCTTCGCTCTAAGAATATGCTTATGTTGTACATGCAGATAAAAATTCTCTTAATGGCTATCAAAGATTTCAATCCAGAATGCGGAGATCCTGCCTACACGATGGGCATTGTTGACTTGTTGCTTGAATGTGTAGAATTGTCACACAGACCGGGTAATTGACTGATATATCCTAACCAATCTAGCTAGCATTTGTTCATAAGAAATGGGAAATGGAGGATAGAGTAAATTTTATGCAAGTTTTATTTATTGTACCTCAAGATCTTGACTTTTATGGAATTAATTGAGCGCAGAGGCTAGTGGAGTCAGGCTCAGGGAAGATATACATAATGCTCATGGTTATCAGTTCCTTGTTCAATTTGCATTGGTATTGTCCTCGATGCCGCAAAATCAGAATTCTCAGTCAGCCTATTTCAAGGGTTCTATAGGGCAAGATGACTCGCCAGATGGTCTTCAAGAGTCGCAAAAGCTGTCTCCTGCATTGTCTAGGTTGCTTGATGTTCTCCTCAATCTCGCTCAGATAGGTCCGCCTGAAACAGCAGCATCTCCTGGATCAAAAGTTTCTAAGACTACTCTTAATAGGTCGAGTGGCTATAGCAGAAGTCATACTTCATCTCTTGATTTAGCTGGTGACGAAAACTGGGAGAAGGACAGTACCAAGGTTAAAGACCTTGAAGCTGTCCAGATGTTGCAAGATATCTTTCTGAAGGCAGACAGTAGAGAGCTGCAGGCAGAAGTGCTGAATCGGATGTTTAAGCTGTTTTCAAGTCATCTTGATAATTATAAATTGTGCCAGCAATTAAGGACAGTTCCACTTCTTATCCTGAATATGGCTGGTTTCCCTCCTTCTTTGCAAGAGATAATCCTGAAGATTCTTGAATATGCTGTGACTGTTGTCAATTGTGTTCCAGAGCAAGAGCTGCTTTCTCTTTGTTGCTTACTGCAGCAACCAATATCATCAGAGCTGAAGCACACTGTTCTCTCATTCTTTGTAAAACTTTTATCCTTTGACCAACAGTATAAGAAGGTCTTGCGTGAAGTTGGTGTACTGGAAGTTCTGTTAGATGATGTGAAACAACACAAATTTCTTTCTGGCCCTGATCAAGAAAGTGTGAGCAAAGACCAGCCTGATAGAACATCTGGTTCGAGCAGCTTCAAGAAACACTGGGATAATAAAAATGTTATCCTTTCTTCTCCCAAGCTAATGGAATCTGGTTCTGGAAAGTTACTGATATTTGAAATGGAGAGTACGGTTTCTGTGGCTTGGGACTGTTTGGTATCTTTATTGAAGAAAGCAGAGCCAAATCAAGCATCATTCCGAGCAGCTAATGGTGTGACTATCATTCTTCCTTTTCTGGTATCAGAAATCCACCGTGCTGGGGCTCTCCGGATGCTGTCATGTTTGATTGCGGAAGATGTTAAACAGGTTTCTCATAACTGGACATTAGAATCTTTGTATATGCATATATTTAAGTATCAATGACCATGAGTGGCTGCGTAGAACTCTTGTTCGTTTTCCAAAATTATTTTTGTAATTTTTTGGAAGTTTGTTTTTGTTATACCTTCCTTTGTTTCTCGCTTCCTTGCTTGATTGTTGCTGACTGTTAAAATGCATTTTGTTACCAGGATCATGCTGAAGAATTGGGTGCACTTGTCGAGGTTCTCAAAAGTGGGATGGTTACAAGTGGAGCAGGACATCAATACAGGCTTCAAGTGGATGCTAAATGTGACACGATGGGTGCTTTGTGGCGTGTTCTGGGAATGAACAGTTCTGCTCAGAGGGTCTTCGGTGAAGCTACTGGATTTTCTCTGCTTCTGACAACACTTCATAGCTTCCAAGGGGAAGAGGGTCGGAGTGATGATTCTTCACAAGCGGTTGTTATCAAGCTGTTCACATACTTATTACGTCTTATGACAGCCGGAGTCTATGATAATGTTTTAAATAGGATGAAATTGCACACAATCATTTCATCTCATACGTTCTATGACCTTCTCTGCGAGTCTGGGTTGCTTTCTGTCGAATGTGAAAGGCAAGTCATACAATTGTTATTTGAGCTTGCTCTTGAAATTGTGATTCCCCCATTCTCGTCATCAGACAATGCTACATCAACAGAAATGGTCAACTCTGATTCTGCTGTTTTTCTTCTGATAACCCCGTCTGGTTTGTTTAATTCTGATAAGGAGAGAATTTATAATGCTGGGGCTGTTAGAGTGCTCATTCGTTCGTTATTGCTCTTCACTCCCAAGGTGCAGTTAGAAGTGCTTAATCTTATTGGTAGGCTTGCTCACGAAAGCCCCTTCAATCAGGAAAACCTCACATCTGTAGGTGCGGGAATGATCTTTTTGCCTTATGTTTCTCCTGTCTTGGTTGCTTTCCTTACAAATGATTTTGGTGTTATCTTTATTCGTCTTGTTGGATACCCATGTAGGTTGCATTGAGCTTCTATTGGAAACAATTCACCCGTTCCTTTCCGGCTCATCTCCACTGCTTACTCATGCGTTGAAGATTGTTGAAATTCTTGGAGCATACAGGTATAATATTCTGTCTGCTTATTTGCATTCTTTTTAATCTGCTAAAATATCAAGGAATAACTAAGAAGTTGTGAATTTCTTGTGTAGGATGTCAGCATCAGAACTTCGATTACTTATTAGATTTGTTCTACAAATGAGGAAGATGAATTCAGGACATATTCTTGTCGACATGATGGAACGACTGATTCTAACTGAAGATATAGCTGCTGAGAATGTGGCCTTAGCACCGTTTGTGGAGATGGATATGAGCAAGATTGGACACGCTGCTGTTCAAGTGTCTCTTGGCGAGAGATCTTGGCCTCCTGCTGCTGGTTATTCATTTGTATGCTGGTTTCAGTATAAGAACTTCTTGAAAGCTCAGGCGAGGGATGTAGAACCATTCAAAGGTGGCCTGTCTAAAAGGAGGGCCATCTCTAGTGGCCAGAATGAACGCCATCTGCTCCGGTTATTTTCTGTTGGTTCTTTTGATAAGGAGAACATGTTTTACGCAGAACTTTACCTGCAAGAAGATGGTGTGTTAACTCTTGCTACTAGTAACTCTTGTTCATTGTCGTTCTCGGGCTTGGATCTAGAAGAAGGTAGATGGCATCACCTTGCTGTTGTTCATAGCAAACCAAATGCTCTAGCTGGATTATTTCAAGCTAGTGTTGCATATGTCTATCTCAATGGAAAACTGAGGCATACAGGGAAACTAGGATATTCTCCCTCTCCCCCTGGGAAGGCATTGCAGGTAACAATTGGGACGCCGCATACTTGCGCCAAAATTAGCGACGTGACCTGGAAACTTCGTTCTTGCTATCTTTTTGAGGAGGTGCTCACATCTGGGTGTATATGTTTTATGTACATTCTTGGTCGAGGATACAGAGGGCTCTTCCAGGACTCTGATATTTTACGCTTTGTCCCTAACCAAGCTTGTGGGGGAGGCACAATGGCTATCTTAGATTCATTAGATGCTGAGATGACCTTAGGAAGCACACAAAAAACTGAAACTTCTGGAAGGCATGTTGACTCTAAGGCGGATGGTAGTGGGATTGTTTGGGATTTGGAGAGGCTGTCCAACTTGTCCTTGCAGCTTTCTGGGAAGAAACTAATATTTGCATTTGATGGAACCTGTTCTGAAGTTGTCCGTGCATCTGGGACCTTCTCTTTGCTCAATTTGGTTGATCCCATGTCGGCTGCAGCTTCTCCTATAGGAGGCGAGTTAAATTAATCCTAACATTAGCCTTTATTTTGTTTCAATGGAAAATGCTTATCTTTGCCACAGTTTTCTGATTCTCCCTTGTTTCTTTGCGTTATCATTTGCAGGTATACCAAGGTTTGGACGTTTGTATGGTGACATACATGTTTGTAGACAATGTGCGATTGGCGATACAATTTGCCCTGTTGGTGGTATGCCAGTTGTCCTTGCACTTATTGAAGCAGCTGAAACAAGGGATATGCTTCACATGGCTCTAACTTTACTTGCAAGTGCCCTCCATCAGAATCCGCAGAATGTGAAAGACATGCAAAAGTACAGAGGCTATCATTTGTTAGCTTTATTCTTGCGCCGGAGGATGTCTCTATTTGACATGCAATCTCTTGAGATATTTTTCCAAATTGCAGCATGCGAGGCTTCATTTTCTGAACCAAGGAAGTTGGGAAATTCTCAAGTAAATTTGTCTCCTGGTGCATCTCTACAAGAAGCTAGCTTTGAGGATCTTAGCTTGTCAAAGTTTCGTGATGAAACCTCTTCTCTTGGATCACATGGGGATTTTGATGATTTTTCTGGACAAAAAGATTCATTCAGTCATTTTTCTGAGCTTGAAAATTCTGATATGCACGCTGAAACTTCAAATTGCATTGTCCTGTCAAATGCAGACATGGTTGAGCACGTATTGCTGGATTGGACGTTGTGGGTAACAGCACCAGTTTCAATTCAGATAGCTCTATTAGGATTTCTTGAGCATTTGGTTTCCATGCACTGGTACAGGAATCATAACCTTACACTGCTTCGTCGAATTAACCTTGTTCAACATTTATTAGTGACGTTGCAGCGTGGGGATGTTGAAGTTCCTGTCTTGGAGAAATTGGTTGTGTTGCTTGGGGTTATCTTGGAAGACGGTTTTGTGGCTTCTGAGCTGGAAAATGTGGTTAGATTTGTCATTATGACATTTGATCCACCTGAAGTGAAACCAAGGCATCAACTAATGCGAGAGCCTATGGGTAAGCATGTAATTGTAAGAAATATGCTTCTTGAAATGCTTATCGATCTCCAAGTGACTATCAAAGCTGAAGAGTTGCTTGAGCAATGGCATAAGATTGTATCATCAAAATTGATCACATATTTTCTTGACGAAGCTGTCCATCCTACAAGCATGAGATGGATAATGACTCTTCTCGGGGTTTGTCTTGCTTCTTCTCCGACATTTGCGCTTAAATTTCGTACAAGTGGTGGATATCAGGGTTTAGTGCGGGTTCTTCCTAGCTTCTATGATTCACCTGAAATATATTACATTTTGTTCTGTCTAATATTTGGCAAGTCAGTTTACCCAAGGTTACCTGAAGTGCGTATGCTAGATTTTCATGCCCTTATTCCAAGTGATGGAAGCTACACAGAGTTGAAATTTGTGGACCTGTTGGACTCTATCGTTGCAATGGCAAGGTCAACATTTGATAGGCTGAGCTCACAGTTTATGCATGCATATGAAACTGGAAATCTTTCCCAGATTGGTGCAAGCCTTGTGGCAGAGCTTGTTGATGGAAATGCAGACATGGCAGGAGAGCTTCAGGGTGAAGCTCTTATGCACAAGACATATGCAGCTCGCTTAATGGGTGGGGAAGCATCTTCTCCTGCTGCTGCGACCTCAGTACTGAGATTTATGGTTGACTTGTCAAAAATGAGCCCTGCCTTTTCAGCTGTTTGCAGGAGGACAGAATTTCTTGAAAGTTGCATTGACCTATACTTTTCTTGCATCAGGTATGTGTTTAATAGCCATTTTGTTTCTTCTTGCTGTTGGATTTCCATATTAGTTCTTTCCATTCAAAGAAAAATTTCCTGGGGGCGTGGATCATGCTTGGCTTCTCTAGCTAAACCCTTTGTTTGTGGAGTAGGTATCACTATAACTTCTCATCCTGAAAAGAAACAGCCAAACAACCTACTTGGATTTGAAATTATTTGTGTATAACTTTTGTTCCTTTCCAATATTAAAACTTGCAGGGCAGCTTATGCAATAAAGATGGCCAAAATGCTATCTGAAAAAACTGAAGAAAAGAACTTGAATGACACTGATGATGCTGGTAGTTCGCAGAACACCTTTACAAGTTTGCCTCATGAACCTGAGCATTCTATGAAGACATCCATTAGTGGTGGGAGCTTCCCTCAAGCCAATGCAAGTACAAGTTCTGAGGACATGCACGGTCCTCAAAATTACACCGATGATGATAAAAAAGAAAAAAAGGTCACCGATACCAAGGAACCTGAAATATCACAGCAAGAAGGTATCCAAATGGTGGATGGTGACACTGCTGACAAATTGTCTCATACCTTGAGCTCCAATGACTTGAAAATACAAAATACTGATGCAGCTGTCGATGCACCTCCACAAGCTGATTCCCAGAGTTCAGCATCATTCACAATTGTTAATTCTCCTGTTGTATCTGAAAAGTCTAGCACGAAAGTTGCTTTCACACCTTCATCTCCTGCTATTGTGTTAAATTCTGGGATGAGTGGTGCAACCCACAATGAATACAAAGTTTTGCCACCAAGTCCTTCTGTTGAATCATTTGTATCTGGCAGCGAATATGATGCATCTAGTGAATTGAAGGCTGGTCCTCAAGTCTCATCTGCTATGACTGCCTTATCTTCAGTTAGTGCACAGCTGCTTCTTGAAGTAGATGATTCTGGCTATGGAGGTGGTCCATGTTCTGCTGGAGCAACTGCTGTGTTGGATTTCGTGGCAGAAGTTCTTTCAGAATATTTTACAGAGCAGATGAAAGCATCACAAGCAATTGAGGCTGTCTTGGAAATGGTACCTTTATATGTTGATGCTGAATCTGTGCTAGTTTTCCAGGGCTTATGCCTTAGCAGACTGATGAACTTTGTTGAAAGACGACTTTTGCGTGATGACGAGGAAGATGAGAAAAAGCTTGACAAAACTCGGTGGTCCTCGAACTTGGATGCATTGTGTTGGATGATAGTCGATCGTGTATACATGGGTGCGTTTCCTCAACCTGGCGACGTATTGAGAACTGTTGAATTCTTGTTGTCAATGTTGCAGTTGGCAAACAAAGATGGTCGTATCGAGGAAGCAGCTCCTGTCGGCAAGGGTCTTATTTTCTCAAGAGGAAGCAAGCAACTCGATGCTTTTATACTTTCGTTGCTTAAGAATACCAACAGGATGATCATGTATTGCTTTCTTCCAACGTTTTTGGTGGCTATTGGGGAGGAGGATCTTCCATCCAGTTTAGGTTTGCTTAGTGAACCCAAGCAAAGACCAACATCGAAGTTGTCACTAGATGATCCTGGAATAGATATCACTGCTGTCCTACAGTTATTAGTTGCTCACAGGCGCATCTTATTCTGTCCTAGCAATCTTGACACTGATGTGAATTGTTGTCTCTGCATCAATCTAGTGGCTCTCCTTCATGACCATAGACAAAGTGTACAAAATGTGGCAATCGATATTCTCAAGTATCTGCTGGTGCACCGGAGGCCTTCATTAGAAGACTTGCTTGTTTCCAAACCGAACCAGGGACAGCAAATCGATGTACTCCATGGTGGTTTTGATAAATTATTGACTGGAAGTATATCTGCTTTTTTTGAGTGGTTTGAAAGTTCAGAACATCTGGTCAGTAAAGTGTTGGAACAGTGTGCAGCCATTATGTGGGTCCAGTATGTTGCAGGATCTGTTAAGTTTCCAGGTGTTAGAATCAAAGGGATGGAGAGTCGTCGTAAGAGGGAGATAGGGAAAAGATCTCGAGATACTTCAAAGGTGGACCTCAGACATTGGGAGCAGGTAAATGAGCGGAGGTATGCATTAGAAATGGTTCGTGATGTGATGTCTACTGAATTGAGGGTTGTCCGTCAAGATAAGTATGGATGGGTTCTCCATGCTGAAAGTGAATGGCAAACCCTTCTTCAACAACTTGTACATGACCGTGGAATCTTTCCAATGCGCAAGTCCTCTGCGACTGAAGATCCAGAGTGGCAGCTTTGTCCTATTGAAGGTCCATACAGAATGCGCAAGAAACTTGAGAGGTGCAAATTGAGAATTGACACTATTCAAAATGTTCTTGATGGGCAGTTTGAATTAGGAGACACAGAACTATCTAAAGCAAAACATGGCAATGGCTTTGATGACTCTGATACTGATTCTGAGCTATTTTTCAATCTATTGACTGAGGATGACAAACAGATTGGTGATGATGGTGACATGTATGGGGAATCTTTTAAGGATGCAATTGGGCCCAAAGGTATTGCTTCTGTCAGAAGTGTATACAATGATGACAAAGCGAGTAGTGTGAATGAACCAAGCCTTCATTCAGCACAAGATTTTGGTGTTAAGTCTAGTGCGGTTTCTGTTCCTATGTCAGAAAGCATGCTAGAAAAATCTGAACTAGGGTCTCCAAGGCAATCATCATCTAATAGAACTGATGACACCAAAGTCACCGAGGACAAGTCAGATAAGGAACTGACTGATAATGGTGAATATCTTATTAGACCATATCTGGAGCATCTGGAAAAGATTCGATTCAAGTATAACTGTGAACGAGTTGTCGGTCTGGACAAACATGATGGTATATTTCTTATAGGAGAGCTTTCTTTGTACGTGATTGAGAACTTCTATATCGATGATAATGGGTGCATCTGTGAAAAGGAATCCGAAGATGAACTGTCCATTATTGACCAGGCTTTAGGTGTGAAGAAGGATCTTCTGAGCAGCATGGATTTCCAGTCCAAGTCAACTGCCTCCTGGAGTACAACTGTAAAAACATGCATTGGTGGAAGAGCATGGGCTTATAATGGTGGTGCTTGGGGTAAGGAAAAAGTATGCAACAGTGGTAACTTGCCTCATCCTTGGCATATGTGGAAGCTAAATAGTGTTCATGAGATTTTAAAACGCGAATACCAGCTTCGCCCTGTTGCAGTTGAGATATTTAGCATGGATGGATGCAATGATCTCCTTGTATTCCATAAAAGAGAGAGGGAGGAGGTGTTCAAAAATCTGGTTGCCATGAATCTTCCCAGGAATAGCATGTATGCCTTCTGTTCCTATTCCTTGTGTTCTTAGTATGATTTACACTTCCACTTGCAGTTACGACACTGAATCTGAATATCATATCTGCCTAATATTATTAGTATCTGTCAGTGAGCTTATCTTTATATGCTGCTAGGCTGATTTGGTGCTGTTGCTATCAGCCATTATAAAGAATCACCTCAGAACTATCCTTTTAGGAATTTGTTGTCCAGTCTGCTAACTGATGTCAACTGTTATAGCAGATAGTCTAACCTCAGAAAATGGCTGCTAGCCTGCTACTGGATTTAGCTCTCTTTCGAATTTGATTTAGTTTACCTCATTTACTATGTATTTCTAAGTGAACAAATCTGCCGAAGTGAAGTTCTTTTTATGCTTTCATCTCATCTGTAGCTTTTGGGGATACCGAGTTTATTGGGTGTTATTGGTGATAGTTTGTTCAAGATACCCCTTCCCATGTTTTTTGTTTGTCAAGCATAGTACTTATACGTCGTTATCTCTATCTGCCGATGTACATCATAAAAGGTCCCTGTCTAGTTCTCACAGGTGTGTCTGAAATAGTGAGAACAGGAGTTAGTTCTGTGCCTAGTATTAGCAGGTTTTATTGCATGTGTGACCTATGGCAAGCCCTATCTTTTGTTCCTTATGACAAAATCTGTTAATAATGTCCATTACTGTGAAACAGATGTTTGGGTACTGTAAGTGGCAGCTCTTAAGTTACCTGAATTCTGCTGTGTCTCGGTTCATGCTTTATCAGTTTGAATGTGCTGCTCGTACTCATTTAATTCTGAATGAGTCCATTTTCCTTGTTCTCTCTGTTGCGTCAGGTTGGACACTACGATTTCAGGATCAGCAAAGCAAGAAGGCAATGAGGGTAGCCGTTTGTTCAAGATAATGGCTAAATCATTCTCCAAAAGATGGCAAAATGGAGAGATTAGCAACTTCCAATATCTTATGCATCTCAACACTTTGGCTGGTCGGGGATATAGTGATCTGACCCAGTATCCGGTGTTCCCATGGGTCCTTGCTGATTATGAAAGTGAAACTCTTGACTTGTCTAATCCTAAAACATTCAGACAGCTGGACAAACCCATGGGCTGTCAAACTGCAGAGGGGGAAGAGGAGTTTAAGAAAAGGTCAGCTGCAAATCCAGACTATCAAGTATTTCCTCCCCATTTATATACTATGTGCTCATTTCCTTCTGTTTCCCCTTATTCAGATATGACAGCTGGGATGATCCGGAGGTTCCAAAGTTTCATTACGGTTCTCATTATTCTAGTGCTGGGATTGTTCTGTTCTATCTTGTGCGCCTGCCACCTTTCAGTGCAGAGAATCAGAAGCTGCAAGGAGGGCAGTTTGACCATGCTGATCGCCTTTTCAATAGTATTAGAGATACTTGGTTGAGTGCTGCTGGAAAGGGAAACACATCTGATGTGAAAGAATTGATTCCAGAGTTCTTTTACATGCCAGAGTTTCTTGAAAATAGGTTCAACCTTGACTTGGGTGAAAAGCAATCAGGAGAAAAGGTTGGTTCCTAGGAACACGGCCACTTGCTTCCCTCTATCGCCTTTTTATAATCAGTTTTTACCTACCAAGTTGGGATGTAATAATTTTCCCTAGTACTTAAGCTTGATGTTGGTGCTTTCTCAGGTAGGGGATGTCATGTTACCCCCATGGGCCAAAGGCAGTGTCAGAGAATTCATTAGGAAGCATAGGGAAGCACTTGAATCTGACTTTGTTTCAGAGAATCTGCATCATTGGATAGACCTCATTTTCGGGCATAAACAGAGGGGAAAGGTATGCTTTTCTCTACCTTTCTTTGGCCGTTACCCGTAGCATTAAGTTTGATAACCTTATACGGTAGAGCACAGTAGGGGGAGAAGGAATTTCTCTGGTTTGCGATTTACTGTTTAGATAAACTCCATGTGTGTGGTGGTGTCCTACTCCTGTATCTTATTTTCTATCATGGGTTCATATTAACTACGATTTGAACATGATGGCCTTGAGACTACAAACAATTTGTTAGCAATCTTGAAATAATTTATCAATGCTAGTTAGTAGGTTTTTTGTATCTGCGACTAATTAATTTTCTTTGTATTGCTGTCGTCATGTATTGGTTATAAATAGATATATTGCCACAAGAAAACTAGAATGCGGTCATTTACTTGTCTTTGGGTCTCCAGGCTATGATACTGTTTGGTTTTGCATTTTAAACAGGCGGCCGAGGAAGCTGTTAATGTTTTCTATCATTACACGTACGAAGGAAGTGTCGATATCGATTCAGTGGCAGACCCTGCAATGAAAGCTTCTATTCTAGCCCAGATCAACCACTTTGGCCAAACACCGAAACAGTTGTTTCTCAAGCCCCACGTGAAGAGGCGGCCAGATAAAAAGCTTCCTCATCCCCTTAAGTATTCGTCTTACCTTGCTCCGCACGAAGTCCGAAAGGCCACATCCCCAATAACTCAGATCATTAGCTATCACGAGAGAGTTCTGGTGTCTGGGACAAACAGTTTGCTGAAACCCAGAACCTATACCAAATGTGTTTCGTGGGGGTTCCCTGACCGCAGCCTGAGATTCACCAGTTATGATCAGGAGAGACTTCTCTCAACACACGAGAATCTTCACGGTGGTAATCAGATTCAGTGCGTCGGTGCTAGTCACGATGGTCAGATTCTGGTTACCGGTGCAGATGATGGTCTGATTTGTGCTTGGAGGATCATAAAAGATGGCCCTCGTTTGATCTCTCAACATCTGGAGTTGGAAAAGGCACTCTGTGGCCATACATCCAGAATTACTTGCCTTCATGTTAGCCAACCTTATATGCTAATTGTAAGCGGTTCTGATGATTGCACTGTTATCATGTGGGACCTTAGTGCCTTGGTCTTTATCAGACAGTTGCCCGAGTTTCCGTCTCCAATCTCAGCAATATTTGTGAACGAATTGACTGGAGAGGTAATGACAGCTGCTGGAATTTTACTGGCTATTTGGAGCATCAATGGGGATTGCCTTGCCATGATTAATACTTCCCAATTGCCCTCTGATTCTATCTTGTGTGTGACTAGTTGTGCGTTCTCTGATTGGCTGGATACAAATTGGTATGTGACTGGACATCAGAGTGGGGCAATTAAAGTGTGGCAGATGGTTCATTGTTCAGACAAGGAGAAAATCAGTTCAGCCTCGTCCTCCAGCAGCTCAACAAATGGATTGAATTTAGGAAACAAGAAGGCGCCAGAATACCGGCTGATCCTGCACAAGATATTGAAATTTCACAAGCATCCTGTTACTGCCCTTTATGCTACAAGTGATTTGAAGCAGTTGTTGAGTGGAGATTCTGGCGGGCATTTGGTGTCTTGGACTCTGCCGGATGATAGCCTGAGAAATTCAATAAAGAACAATGGGTAATGAAGGGGATATTCATTTCAGGTTCATAGTTTTTGATTGATTCTGCCTTTCCTGTGGGGCAGCTAGTTTAAGAAAGAACGGATTTGCTTGCAGTGGGGAAAGGGAAGCAAATGCAATGGAGGGCTGTCCTGGAATTGGAATGTGATCTGACTCGGTGGTCTGTGTCAGGTTGAGAACCAAGCCTAGTCTCCTCGTGCCTTGTGTAACTTTTGGGATGGTTGATGGAAGAGAAACGTGCTAGATCGTAAACAATATCGTCAACTATCTGGTTATCCGCGGTGTACATAGATGATGCGGTTACTAACAGCGTGGAGTTGGAAGGATTTTTGTATACTGAAAGAGGAGCAAAATCTGGCTTTTCCAACTCATAGTTTGGAGGCAGGGCAACAAAGCTGGTCCGTATGTAGTAATCTGTTCACTAACTTTCCTTCTCCTTGTGTTTTCCTCTCCATGGTGGAAGAGCTTACACGGCCCGGTTCCTTGTACAATGTACCTTCCATTTCATTTTGGTTAAGAAGATAAAATCAGGGGTTGGGAAAGTAAAGAGAGAAGCTCCTGGACTATCAGTTGCATATTATTTAGCTGCTGGGAGAACTTGATTGCTTGTAATTTTTGTAGGGTGGGATACATGTATGTGTAGTTGCAGGTCTTTTGCTGGATGCTCGATTGGTGAAATGCATTTTTTATTTACCATTGATACCCATTTCTCTGCAGGATCATGACATGTGTGACTATGCGAGTCGCAAGTTGACCTTGTAAATAAGTCTATTAATTCTTGTTATATAAAGATTTTTGTTTTTTAAAAAAGTGATATGTTAAACAAAAAAATAGAAACCCATTGTTTCAATTGATAAATGAAATAATATAATTTGTGATTGGTTCAAAAAATAGTAGGAGCGTAACATGTAAGAGCAAGACCAAGTTAAAATTATCGAGTCAAACTCTCATTATTACGCCATATTTCTAGGTCACGAGAGTGAATTGAACTCAATATCCAATGAGGCAACGAATTCTAAAATGGGATTCTGTGCAAAAACAACATATTATTTAAATATAACCACATAAAATTATGGTTACGAAAATTGTGCATTCAGTGTCATGACTCATGACCAAAAGTTGAAACTAGTGAGTTAAACTCTCATTACTATATTTCTAGGATATGAGAGAAAATTGGACTCTATGGCCGCTTTAGTCTCGGACTCTAAAATATGAATCTATGCGAAAAATAACATGTTTATTTGAATAATTAAAAACACAAAAAATTGTAAACTGATAAGAATTTTAAAAAAATGGAAAATGCACCATCGAAATACGCATATGATCAGTCGGCATCTATTTCAATAGTCGGAAAGCTCACAAAGGAATTTTAAAAACAGTTAATGAAGTCGTTGTCTTCATATTCGAGCTCGAGCGAGAAAGACGCGTAAGTATGCAAAATCAATACGAAAAAAATTCCGGTAACACTGATTATAAAAGATGCCTAAATATGCAAAATCAAAGGGTTTCTTGAAAAAATAGTATTCCGAAATCGTATAGGAAAGAAATGAAAATGTAAATAAAAGGTAAAAGAATAAAGGGCTAATACCACTAGGAAACTCGAACTATCAAGATTGTGTCATTTGTGGACTAAATTATCCAATATGACATTTGTGTCCCAACCTATGATAGTTGTGTGTCATTTATGTCCTCCCGATTTTGTTGACCGTTATATTTAACGGTTGACCAGACGGTGGTAAACATGATGTTTTTTTATGGTTAATCAAAATTTCAATTAAGCCCGGGAGTTGCAAACTGCAAAACTCCTCCTCCATGTACAAATAGTTCATAGCCATATCAATAACTACTCAATGTAACTATCTACTAAAGTATTAAAAAAAAATCCATCTCTGCTTCATTCCTGCTTCAGGTTTGGCTTTAATTATCCATTTCACTTCTTCTTAAATCCTTCCAACCAGCTTACTTGGTGGACATATGACAGCATCATGAGCTCAGCAACAACGCTCACGCCACACATAACTAATGCAAAGACACCATCTTAACCTGCCTGCCTTCACCTGCTAACACTGTACCACTGGACCACTGCCTCACTGCCCCAACTCAAATGCTCGGACCATGTAGTGAAAACAGGGATCCTACAAAATCTGCTTAGTAATTTTGACAAGACATAGCTGCGGTAAGGGCATCCAAGAAATAAGTGATCACGAGATTCTTCTCCACCTGGACAAAGAACACAAGAACATTCTCCAGCCAACCCCCAGTTTAAAGCTTATCATTTGTAACAATACAATTCAGGACAACTAAACATAATAGTAAACTGTGTTTAGGACTAAACAGTTTTTCCCAAACAGTCTTATGCCAATCAACAAGGAGATTAGGACTCCTTATGGTATGTCAGACAAGTTTAACAGAATACTTAGGTAATACCTTTCCATCCCAAGCTAGTAAATTACCACTGCCAGAGATATGAGATCTTACCCCAGCTCTGCTCTTCAAAATCTTCCGCCAAATCCACGTTCCTACTGACTCGCTTGAGATACCCCATATGGATTTGAGCTTCAACCTGTACTTCTTCTCCCACGCAACCCACAGCGAGCCAGATTCAGCCAGCAGGTTCCAGATATGATGAACTCACTACAACAAATTAGGTCTATTATGACGCAAGGACTTTGTCACAATACATTATGAATTTGTCATGTTACATCCATTGTGACAAATATCATTCGTCATTAACGTTGTCGTAATACGCCGTCGCCGTTGACTTAATGTGACAAAACTTTTAGATGTTCGTCATACTAGATCTACCAATAATGTGACCTTTATAAATTGTCATAAACATGTCACTAATGTGACAAAAGGATTTGTCGTATTAAGCTGACAAAGTTGTCATTCTACAACGGTGTTTGTCACGAGATGTCAAGTTTTATCTAACTTAATGTGACAAACACAGCAAAGTATGATAATTACATTTTGTCATACTCGACTATTGTCACAATTGATATTCGTTCTGTTGTTGGATTATGACAAATTTTACTTTGTCATACCTATAGAATTTGGACGGTTTACGAATCATTATTGCAGTTTCTGACAATTGATAAATTTGTCATAAATTCCATAATAAATGACGACTTTTGTTTTTTCAGATTATATTATTTGGATATTATGACAACATGTCCGTGTCATTTCTGTTTTATATTATGACAAATGTGTTGTCAAAATATACCATGAATGACACACAAAAATTGCCAGAATTGAACCATGTGTTCATAGTCATAACTAGAGAATCCAATCACATTAAATAAAACTAATCCTTCTATCCAAATCCAAACATTCGATTCAGTACCATCTTGATTTCAACATAGTCTTCCAACGAAATCCAGAAAAAGGCTTCCGAACAAGTTTAGCGTTGGTTCACCATAAAGGAGAACATCCTACGACAAAATGGACAGTTCATACTTCTAATTTTTAACATCTTCCCTTGTCATCTAATCATTGCTCCTAGTAATCTTCAACATCTGTAAGAAAACAATGAAAAAGAAGATAGTTTGTCACTTACTCACATCCATGTTCAAGTGACAATTAATCTAAATAGTTGTTATCCCAACACACAACTCAGCATGAGAACGAGACATATATAAATTCAGCTCCTTTAAGAACAATGGACTAGGAATATAGATAGTTACCTTCGGCTGAAGGAATCCATGGTCATTTCCGATTTAGTGCTGCAGCAAATGACTCCATCTGCTGCTGAAGTTTCTCTTGTGATTCTCATAGTTGCTGCACTTCCGCACCTTGCATTTGTAACTTCTCCTCATGAAGTTGTATTTTCTCATCCTGAATTTGTATATTCTCCTCTTGGGATTCTTGGCCTCAAATTCCTTAGTTCTTCTCTCAGATTCAGCTCTTTCCTCTTGCAATTCTGCTTCCAGTTGTATCTCTCTTCCAAAGTTTTGTAGACTTCTTTCCCCAATAACCCATGTGCCGCATCAGGCAATAGACGTTGTCAGAACACATGGTGGTCGTGACTTTTCATCCCAGTTATTGACCTACCATCACTAGTTACACAACGAGAAATGTTTGAGGCATAGGCATCGGGAAACTTGATGGTTTTTAACCAGTCACAGAACTGCCTACATTGTTCTGAAGTTAAGGTATATGAAGCTTGAGGCATTTTAAATTGATCACCGTATCTCTGCAGCTGTAATTCCTTTCGAACACCCATGAGTTTCAAATCCATCTGAGCATTAGATGTATCTTTGGTCTTTCCATCGATATTAAGTAGTGTTGCTAACACATTATCACTTATGTTCTTTTCTACATGCATAAAATCTAAGTTATGCCGTAATTCTATAGTTTTCCAGTATGGCAAACTCCAAAATGAGGCTTTCGTTTTCCAGTTAAATACATTCTACGAAGCACCCCTTTTCTTTTACCAATCTCGCTGGCAGCAATATTTGTAGGAAAGGCCCTATTGATCTGTTCAAGTACTTCTGTCCCCGATAAATTTTTAGGTTTTCCTATGTGTTCCGTCTTTCCATCAAACTTCTTGCTTTTTTTTTCACTGATGATCTTTGTCCAACCACCTTCTATGACCCATGTAGCACTCTTTCTTTCCATATTGCAAACGCAAGCTACATGTCTCGTTATTACACATAGGACATGCTAGTTTACCCTTAGTAGTCCACCCACATAACATTTCATATGCTGGAAAGTCGTTTATTGTCCATAACAATGCAGCATGTAAGTGAAAAGTTTCCTTAGCACATGCATCATAAGTATTGACCCCGTCCTCCCACAATTATTTCAATTGTTCTATCATAGGCTCTAAATAAACATGTATATTATTACCCGGGAATTGCTTTCCAGGTATCAGAACACTGAGGGAAAAAGGCTCTGTCATACAGCTCCAAGGAGGTAGATTATATGGTGTTAAGACTACAGGCCACATGCTATAGCTAGTAGTCATGTTTCTGAATGGATTAAACCCATCACTAAGAAGAGCAAGTCGAACATTCCTAGGATCCGAAACAAACCAGCTATGATCTCTATCAAACCGCTTCCAAGTTTCTCCATCAGCAGGATGCCTGAGTACATCATCATCAACACATTTTTCCTTATGCCACCTCATGTCTTTAGCAAGGTCTTTTGTCATGAACAACCTTTGTAGCCTATCTTTTATTGGGAAATATCGAGCTTTTTTTTTTGGGCCACCTCCTTCTGTTTACCAGGTTTGTACCTAGATTCCCCACATTTTGGACATGTTTTTACATTTTGGAGAGGACCTCTAAACATAATGCAATTGTTGGGACATGCGTCTATTATAGTGTAACCAAAACCGAGATCTTTCATGTATTTCTTAACCTCATAGAATGAAGTTGGAAGTGTGTCCCCATTTGGTAAAGCATCCTTGAATAGCTAGCTCAAAATTCAAGTTAAAAGCTTTATCACTACTATTGGTTAGTAGTTTATTATTCATCATTTTCATGACGAAGGATAGTTTTGAAAACTTCTTGCATCCCGGATATAGAGGACAGTTGACATCCTTGATTAACCTAGTTAAATTGCCAGAAAGATTTGCTAAACTAGGATTATTAGTTGTTGCCCCATCTGTTGAAGGAAAACTTCCAGCAGTAGCTCGGCCTAAATCATCCAGCATATCAGGAATGTTAGTATCTATCACTTCAATTTCATTCTCAAAAGGAGAATGCGGCTGGTTTGTGTTGCTATTGCTGCCAACCTCAAATGGCTCGCCATGATGTATCCATCTGGTATACGTCTCCACCATGCCATGCCTAAATATCTCAGTTTTCACCATGCTTAGAACTTTGAAGTAGAAATTATTGCACATTTTACACGGGCATCTTATTCTACCAAGTTCATCAACATTGTTAGTTGAAACCCTTATAAATTCCTCAACCCCAGCTATATATTCTTCAGAAAATCTATTCTTTAGCTTCATCCAATCTTTGTTCATTTTCACTATGCATAAAGATAGATTAACCTTCACTGCTGGGCTGTTTTGGGAGTTCCTAAATCACAGTGAAGAATGTCGAAACCACCTGCGCATATAAGACCCATTCAACATGAGCAAACCTATTACTTCAAATCCTGAACAAGTTGTACTTTTAATGACTTAACACATGTAAAAACATAATGTAAGGATCAATCACTCCCTATATTCAATATTAAAACAAAATTGGAACAGAGGTTCTTCAATTTGGCTCTTATATGAACTTCTCTCTCAAATCAGGGCCAAAGAAAGGATTATGAGGCCAGCCCCATGTATGTTGCACTTACTTCATCTTTAGTTATTACTTGGCAGTTTTGACAGAGGCAAATTCACCCTCACATATGTTTTCAATCATCAAATCAATCTCTAGGAATATATTGAGCAAGAATCTAACACAAATTCACTTGGTTTAATAGAAAAATCAACAAAATGACCCTAAACCAGAGATTCCACCAATCTAAACCCTTACACACATACATAGAAGCACTTATATCTCGAAGGGAATTCACACAACCAAGAAAGCACAAGCATGTAAGAAAAAAATCATAACCAGCCTTGCCTCTTGAAAAGTAAACTCATGTACAAGAAGGATGATGATGATGATATCAGCGGCCGAAACAAATGAGAACAGTACAAAAACCTTTGGCAGAGGAACGAGGAGCATGAAAGAAGGATGTGGTTTCATACCGACTAAGAACTCCGAAATCAATTTGATGTCGGTAATAGCTTCCTTTCTATCACAATTCCTTGGCTAGCGATTGAGTAGGCTCGAGTCTATGGAGGTGTACGAAAGGGTTAGAAGGAACATCAAAGAGAGAGCACAAGCGCCAACATCAAAATAAAATAAAAATTGCATGCACATAAAATCCTTTGATGCAGAACAGAGGAAATTGAAACAGGAATTCGACTACTTACATGCGCCAAAACCAATCCGTCGTCAGAGTAGCCTTCCGAGATACTCGATTCCCTTCTCGGAATTGACTGGGCACGAGCCTTTTGGGGAGACGAAAGGGTTTAACCAAAGTGAATTTTGTGGGCGTAAGGGTTTCAGAGAGGGAAGGAAAAGGGGGACTTCGATCGTCTAATGAAGTTGTATTTTTTTTTATAGAATAATGATTGGAGGTTAGCAAAACGACATAGGAAAGGAAATAATGTATTTTCTTTTGCCCTTTGTATTAATGAATGATGATTTGGTAAAGAAAATTTGATATATATAGGTAGTAATGTTATAATGAATAGGGAAAATCGACAATGCAAAGTTTATGAGTATATACAGTTGCCCAGAACAGAAACCCAAATAACATTGAGATAATATACCGTGGACCGGGGGCGTTGCCCCTGGACCCCACTGGTTGACCGGTCAGCGAGACCCCCGTGACTTCCAGTCGTAGCGGCTGATAGTCCGATTCAAGTCAAATTAACACGTTAACTTAACCTAACATCCCCATTTGGGTTATGTATAATGTACAATTTAACTGATTAGGACTCGAGTTTGCGCAATTGCATATAAGACTCTAAGTTTAGGCGATTAAATGTTGAGTATGTCCCTTATAGGTTTACAGTTCAACGCCTATGAATTGAGATTTTGAACTAAATTAGTGTTTAATTTAGAGTTGCCAGTAAATGATTTACTGACGATTGTTTGTCATATTAAATATACACCCAACACTTAATGATATTTTAATGATATAGTATACTCTTCATATTAACTCCTTTGAATAGTGAATTTGACAATCTATTTTGTCATTTTAGACGTTTCATTCTTCCCTCCATTATTTCCCGCCATTACCAAATTCATATTATGACAAATTTGCAATTTGTCATTTTAATGATAAAGTAAACTCTTCATATTAACTCCAATTAATAGTTAATTTGACAATCTATTTTGTCATTTTAGACATTTCATTCTTCACTCCATTATTTTCCCGCCATTACCAAATTCATTTGTGACAAATTTGCATACTGTCATTTTAATGATAAAGTACACTCTTCATATTAACTCCAATTAATAGTTAATTTGACAATCTATTTTGTCATTTTAGATATTTCATTCTTCCCTCCATTATTTTCTCGCCATTTCTAAATTGATATTGTGACAAATTCGCATACTGTCATTCTAATGATCAAGTACACTCTTCATATTAACTCCAATTAATAGTTAATTTGACAATCTATTTTGTCATTTTAGACATTTCATTCTTCCCTCCATTAGTTTCCCGCCATTAACAAATTCATATTGTGACAAATTCGCATACTATCATTTTAATGATATAATATACTCTTCATATTAACTCTTGTGAATAGGTAATTTGATAATATATTTTGTCATATTAATCATTTTTCATTTAATAATTTCATTTCCCCTGTTCCTGCCAAATTGATATTATCAATAAACATAATATGACTCATCATGCTTTGTCATATTATATCATCTCCTCTACAATTGATGTTAGACATTATGACAAAAACAACTTGTCACAAAAACTATCGACATTATGACAAACACCTAATTTGTCACATCATACAACCCACATTTCCCCCCAAAACCTCCCGCCAAAAAGCCTCCTCATCAACACACTATTAAGACAACAAGACTTGTCACACGAAACATCGTATGCTATGTAATGTGACAACATAAAATACGACAATAAATGTTGTCAGATTATATTGTTCTATTGTCATCCCATCGAGATTTTTATGACAAATTACCAATGACAAAAAGATTTTCATCACAATAGAATGTTAATGTGACGCATGTAAATGACAAAAGAATAATTTGTCACAAAAGATATGGCAAATTTGACAATGGTTCTATTTGTCATATATGGTAATAATTGTCATACTAGACCAAATTTGTGACAAAAGATAAATGACAAAATAAAATAATTGTCATACTAGACCAAATTTGTTGTAGTGACTACACATGCATGGTTCCACTTTTTAAAATCCCTTATCCCCAATCCTCCTTCAACTTTTGGCAGAGCCACAAAGGACCATGCCACTAGAGATTTCTTCCTCATACTCGAGCCACCAACACCCCACAAGAATTGGTTAAATATCTTCTCAATGTCTTTCAGAATTCTTTGTGGTAGTACGAATAAAGCCATCCAACCATAATACTTGTAATAACAGAAGAAACCAGTTGTAGCCTACCAGCATAACTTAGCTTCTTTGCATGCCCGGTTCTAATTCTTTGTGTAACTCTATCAACAAGCACTGAGCAAACAACAGAAGAAAGCTTACTTGAGATTAATGGCACACCTAGCTAACAAACACGCAAGCATCCCAGAGGGAATCTAGTAAAAGAAGAGATCCATTGTTTTTCTCCATAAGGAATTCCACAGCAAAACAGTTGGCATTTTGCAGGGTTACAACGAAGGCCATATTTAACATAAAACTGTGCTAGCACTCTTTGTATACCAGCCACCCCTAGAATTGATCCATTTGTAAACACTAAGAGATCATCTGCGAAGCACAAATATGTAATCTCTAATCTTTACAACGGGGATGGTAGGGGACTTGATTGTCTATAGCTGCCTTGTGAATTAAACAAGAAAAGTACTCCATTGCCACAGTGAACAAGGAGAGAGGGGGTCTCCTTGTCTGAGACCCTTTCCAGTAGAGAAATAACCACACAGACCTCCACTAAAAGAGACACTGAGCTTGGGGGTTGTAAGACAAGCCTCTATTGGCCAAACAAAAGATTCTGGAAATCTCATAGCTAAGAGCATTTTAAACAGAAAAGACCAATTTACCGAATCAAAAGCCTTCATGATGTCAATTTTTAGGACACTTCTCGATGAGGTAAACTTGATGTTGACTTTTGCTCACGTGGTAAACACGTGGCAGCCACATAGATGTCATATCATTGACACCTCATATTTTTAATTCAAAATTAAATAAATACTAAAATTGAAAATATTAAAATCAGAAAAATATAAACTCACCCATATTAATCATCCAAAATTCAAATAAAACCCAAAACAATCGAAAATCCCCGTAGCTGTCCATAAATCCCTGGAGTGAATGGATGCTCTCTTCGTTGTTGTCAAACAATGGCTGCTCTCAAACAATTAATCCTCGTCGCCGCTGTCAATCGAAGAATGGAAGATGACACCAACCCAGGTCTCTGACGAGGAAGCCAACCTGTTCGCAAGGCAGCTGGCCAGTGCCTCTGTCCTGCCCATGGTGCTCAAATCGGTGCTCGAGCTCGACCTCCTCGAGATCATTGCCCAATCCGGCCTCGGGGCTTGCCTTTCCCCCACAGACATCGCTGCCCAGCTCCCCACCAAGAACCCATAAGCCTCCGACATGCTCGGTCGCTTCTGCCGCCTCCTTGCTTCCTACTCCGTCTCCGTCTCCAACCCTCGAAGCCCACCATCACCATCATCAGAGTCTGCGGCCCATACCAGAGTGGCCGCAATCTCCGCTAGTGAGGCGCCGCACTCTACGATGGGAATTTCTCCGGAGGCACGATTTACAATCAACGACAGAGGTTGGGAGACGGGAGAGGGTACGGGAAATCCCCAAATCGATTAGTTTATGTTTTTTCTTTTTATTTTTGTATTTTTTTTCATTTTCTTCTCTTACATGGAAAATAATTATAAATTCCACTTTAGATGCCACATCAGCGCTGACTAGACTTTCTATTATAAACTAACGGTCAACGTCGGTCAATTCTAACAAATTATAGTTTAGGATACAAATGTCATATTGGATAGTTTAGGACACAAATGACACATTCTTCATAGTTCGGGTTCCCTAGTGGTATATTTCCAAGAATATAATAAAACATAAAAGAAAAAGCAAAATGGATCTATTGGGAGAATACCCCTTAAGTTGGGTTATTTACGTTTTACCGCTTAATGAATAGTAGATCTAGAACCCATATTTTTATATTGCGTAAGTCTGCAAAATAAAATACAAAAAAATGTCGGTTTCAACAATTATAAAAGAAAAAAGGGTTTCTTGAAAAAATAGTATTCCTAAATCATATAGGGAAAAAATGAAAAGGTAAAAGAATAAAAGAAAACATAAAAGAGAAAGCAAAATGAACCTATTGAGAGAATACTCCTTAAGTTAGGGTTATTTACGTTTTACCGAAAATGAAAAAATGGACCAGTTGGGAGAATATCCTTTAAGTTGGGTTATTTACCGCTTAATGAATATAAGATCTAGAACTCATCTTTTATATTGCCGAGTATGCAAAATCAAATGTAAAAAAATGCATTTTCAATATTTATAAAAAAAAGGGTTTCTTAAAAAATAGTATTCCTAAATCATATAGGAAAGAACAAATGAAAATGTAAATAAAAGGTAAAATAATAAAAGAAAACATAAAAGAGAAAGCAAAATGTACCTATTGAGAGAATACCCTTTAAGATTTAGTTATTTATGTTTTACCGCTTAATGAATAATATATCTTATACCAAACAAATGAAGGAAATTATGCAATGATTAATGAGGGCTTTTAATATAATTTCACTATAAATAAAAACTTTTAAATAAAAAAAAGGTTTTTTAAGGAAAAAAAAGTTTGGTCGGCACTGGACGAGTGGCATCCAAGGGGTTCTTCCATTGGGGGGCGTTGGTGTGCGAACATTCTTCCCCGGCACCTAGAGAGGGTCAACCCTATTCGACTATTATTTCATGGAGAGATGCCATCCTTCCGAGAGAGAGAGAGAGAGAGAGAGAGAGAGAGAGAGAGAGAGAGAGAGAGAGAGAGAGAGGCGAGTGAGATGATAATGACGACATGCATATTTGGGACCAAATTACATGTTTGGTTGGCAAATTGAGACATGTTGTTTGGAATGAGGTGATATTCAAATACCACAATTCTGTTATTTGACATATAATAGGAGGCGGAGTTAGGCATTCTGCAAAAAACAAGTTGCTTAAATTTATATTCAATATTATCCTCGTTCATTTATTGTTAGTTCGAAAATTTCATCTTCTTTTCATCTTGCTTTCATACTTACCCAGTCACAGCTCATCAATCCATATTTCCTCTTTTCCTCTCAAAACACAAAAGTAACGGAAGGAGAGGAGGTTACGGCGTCGTTTGAAACAGTGGCCATCGCGTTGGATGGCGACAGGGTTGGTAGAGATCGGGCGGTGGTGTTGAACGAAGTGGGTGACGGCCAAACATGACAAAGATTCTGGTATACCTCATTCATTAGAACAAATTCTCTGTTTTGCGCATACCCAAATTCTCAATCCTTCTTTCTATTTTTCAAAAGTTGGGATTTTTAGCTGGGGACTAGCTAAGGGGCTTTAGCATTTAAGTGTTGTTTGTGTTTCACCTTTTGGCTTGGCTTGATGTATGGCATGGTTGTCAAACCGGTTTCATGCCGGCCGGTTCAACCGGGTACAACCGGTACCGGCTGGAAAGAGGCCGGTATTTAACTATGGTCAAATCCGATCAATGCCGGTCAGATCCGTTCAATTCCCGAAATTCCGACCGGTTAGACCAGAAAGCGGAATTCAATGTTACACATATTTTTATCCAAAAATAAACACCTTCCTTAGGATTTGAACCAAGTACCTTGTGTTCATTTTAGTCTAACTTATAACAAGTAGGCTACAAGCAACTTTGTTGTACATATTAACCTTATATATTATATATCTAATACTTAATTTTACACAAATCATTATAAACATTAATAAAATTCATTTTATATACTTTTATTTTTAAGCATCTAATTGTTTAGTATTAGTTACCAATTCTTAGTTATAAATTATTTTGTGTGAAATAATTTTTCTAATTGCTTTTTGATGACTAATTTATTTGGAATTGAGAATTTCCATTTGTCTGATATATTTTATTAAAACCGGCACAACCGGCGTGAATACTGGTTGTACCACGGTCGGACCATTCCACTTTCAAAACCGGCACACCGGCATAAACCTGTTTGACAACCTTGATGTATGGTTTTATGTATGGGAGTTCCATGCTTGAATGATGTTTTTTTTTATATATTGAGAGAATACCACAGCTAGGATGATATGACAAATCCAAGAATACCACTTGTTTTTAAGCCACAGTAGGTAATATGATTGGTGATTCAGGTCTAATTGTACACATTTTATCCCTGTTTCCCTTGGGCGTTTGTGGCATTCTTGCTCCTAAAAGGGTGGTTTTACGCTAGGTTTTGTGTGTTTCAGTGTGTTTCAGGATCTAACAGATGAAACCAGTCCCCGGAGTCGGAAGTTGGAAGGAAAGAAGCAAAGACCGGGAAAAGGGAGTGATTTAGGCCATGTTCACGATTTCCCATTGGAGTTCACGGTCTCCTAAGGCCACGAACTGGAGCCATAAACCGTGACCCGCAAGGCATCCAGAATGATTTCAGAGGTTACTGACGCCGAGTGAGTTCACGGTCACCAAGACCTTGAACTTTGAGTGCAAAGCGTGAACTCAAGTGAGTGAAGCGGTGCGTTTTGACATAACACTCCGAGTTCACAAACGCATTGAAGAGTTCAGGCCGTGAACTGAGCCCGATCCCAGTATAAAACGTGAGCTGAAAGGAAGAGAGAGGGAGAGCCCAAGTGTAAGATAGCACCTTCTTCTTCAGATTTTAGAGAAAGAAAGGACGAACCAAAGAAGAAAGGAGGCTAGGGTTTGCTCCAACTGGTGAATTGGGAAGAATCTCCCCAAAAAGAAGCTCAACACAAGATCAAAGGAGAGTGGAGGCATCACCATGATGGTTTCTACTTCTTTATTTTGTGTTCTTTCCCTTTCTAGCATGGAGAAATTTCCTTTGTCACTTGGGTGTTGTGAAACCCTAACTATTTGTCACGTAGTTGTTGTGTGAATTGAATGATTGTTTATTGGTGCTGTTTAATTTAATGAATGAGGTATTTTCATGATGATTGTGTATGTTTGTGCATAGCAATCTAATTGGCCATTCTAACCTAGATTGGAGGGGAAACTCCCCTTGTCAAAGAGGCTCAATTGAGTTGTGATTCCTTGGGATTTCCAAACCACCTACCTAGGTTAATGTAGGGCAACTATCTATCTTTAATTAAACAACTAGGTTAATTGTGATTAAGCCATCCGACCATTGGTTTGAGGGAGAAGGTAAGTCAACCCTCAAGGGAGAAGGTAAGTCAACCCTCAATTGCCTTAACCAAGAGGGCTACCCTAGTGGCCTATGTCCCTTGGCTTGGCAATTGATGGTGTGGTCTCCGACCATAATTACATTTCCTAGCGGTTCATGATTGCCTTGCCCCATTACTTCTCATTCGAGTCCACGTGCTATGGTAGTAGTTAGGGGGAAGCGACACCCGAGTGGTCCTTCTCATCTAGAGCTTTCAAACCAATTACCTTTGCTTTGTTTTAATTTAATCCTTATAGTTTTCCACCAAAAACCAGTCGGCTAGATAATGTTTCAAACAATTGAAGTAGGGGTACACGGACCGGTCGGGTTGATATTTAAACATACTTGCCCTATATTGCACCCATCTAAGGTTTATACTTGGACCTTAGGTGGGATTTTGTTGTGATATTCAGGACGAGTCAATTGGACCATGGATACATATAAATTGTTGCATGTTATATGTTTTGCTCATATGACCTTGTTCATTGTGAAGGATTTTGCTAAAGTGGAAGTCTCACTCACTTTTTTGAATGATAGGGATGACACGATTATCAACTTTGTCTCCGACACATAGGCGTCATGTGGTAGCAGTGATTAGTTCCATCCAAAACCTGCTTATGATTTATGTAAGTTTAGGAATGAAATTAGTTGAGCTCGTAGCAAAACAGAACATAAACCCTAGACTTGATAGGCAGCCCATGGACATAACTTTGGTTAGGCATTATAGTAGACAAAGGCACCTTACACTAACCATTAGAAGGAGTGACACTTATGCCTATGATAGGGATAGGATGAACCAAACCCTATTAAGGTATTTTTGTGACCTTCTTGTTGTTGAAAGAGGCTTGAAAAAAAACTAGAAATTTTGACATAAATGAGAAGGTTTACATCTTTCTTTGAACTATTTTGCTTAACAAGAAGAATAGGACCTTAATAGTAAATTTGCGTCGCTCGGGTGAGACCATTTCTCTCTCAATACATCTTATGCTAAGGGATATCATTAGACTGAATGCCATATTGATGGAGAAGCCCATCCATTCCACGAAACTCTACCGATAATAGATGAAATACTTCAAGGTTGGCTTCTACTTTTTGTTTTCAAATTTATTTTCCATGTTGCAGCATGACAAAATTTGTTCAAATTGAAAAACATTTAAAATTTTTGTTACTGCGTGTTATAGCATTGTCTAGGAGCTCTAGATTGCACCTATATCTGTGTTCAACCATTGAAAGAGGACCAGTTTAGGTATCGAGACAGATGAGAAAATTTATCTATGAATGTGTTGGGGGTGTGCACCCCTAATTTGGTTGTGTACTTATTGTTGCATGTTTTGTAGGTTCTTACACATTGCAAGGGTATATATCGAACCTCATTTCCACAATTTTGGGACCTTGAACCAGTGTTTGCTAAATAAAGTGCTAATTGGGAGGTTGGATTTGTTGGTAAGGATGGAAACTCGAGTCATACTAGTTTGGATGAGGTAGAATCTCCTATGATCAATCTTAAAGCAACTATAGTGTAACACCCTACCCTATGCGTATTACCTAATCATATTGTTCATACAATTGCAGCGGAAATAATCTCGGGTGTTACATTAATTACCAAAATTTACCCAAATAAAATTTTGACATCAATTACTCGCGTAATGGGCTAACAGTTCTTGCAACTTATCCTGCAAAATAATTCATCTGAATCCTTACATTCGTAGACATACATATATACTCACAACCATATATATTGGCTTTTATAGCCATAGTCACAGTTTACATACTCCACAACTGCATACCATACTTATACATGCATAATCATCACACCTTACACAATTACACAAATATACACATATCATCAACTTTCCACTCCTGTGGATATCTCACACTACATCAGAAGCTAGTATGCACATGAAAAACGTTCTCAAAACATTTTTTACAAAAAGGTGTGGATCACTGGCCAAAATCCCAAGTAGTCATCCAAGCACAGAATAGTTGAAGACCATACCTCATCTTGTCTTCAACTCTTGCTCAGCTCCCACCTATACACCTATCTACTGCTGCTGATGATGATGATGATGATGATGATCAGCTTACACATGGCATAAGCAGAGAAAAAGGATAAAGAGGGTAAGCTCATAGCTAAGTGAGATAATCATAGCATCGTGAGTTCATAACAGAGCATCCCTCTACCACCCATCTAGCAAACAAGCCAAAGCACTAGGATCAGACCTCAGCCATCCGACATCCCAATAGGCAAAAGACTCAACCACCTTGACTTCTGTATATGCATCTTATCATGTTTTACTTATAGGCGCCTGGCTACTCCCATGCTAATAACTCTTCCGCGAAACATACCCCACATCTCGTCGGATGTAGTCATACATACCCCAACATCCCGTCGGATGTGGTCATACATACCCCACACCACTATGGGTGTAGTCATACCCTGACACCACTCTGGGTGTGGTCATATCTTGTAAGAATTCTTCAGTCACCACCACATGAGAGGTGTGACTATCATACATATCATAATAGAGTAATAGCATAGGGAGCCCTAATTACTATGTAGTTGACCGTGAGACCACAACACTCATATTTGGTATCCTCATACATGATTCATATCTCATCTTGCTTAATCATAATTCTTTACTTGCACATGTACTTGACCTAGCCATCCTCTGGATAAACCCTTCGTGCAAGTCATCCTCCTTATAATACCACTCATATTTGGTATCCGTATAATTGCACTTCCTCTGGATAAACCCTCGTGCAAGTCATCCTCCTTAAACATCATAATATCACCCTGGGAATTTTATTTCCCCCACTTGTGAATCCAAATACAACCACAATATCACATCATGTCAAAACACCTGATCGAACAACCATGAAGTCATATCAACGGTTAAGCCACAAATGGCAACATGTATGCAATCATCAACATAAACAAGGTCCATATTGGCTAGGGCAAGTCAATAATGTCATACAACAATCCATGGTTCATCATATAGCATAAAAGGCCATACACCCCTAATCATGTCATTCTAATTCACCTAGGTCAATTCTAAGCATCAATATAATTATCGTGATACGACAAACCCGGTATGCCGTGCTAATCCCTCACCAGTTCTGGTCGTTCAAACACCGGTTTAACCTTCCCGTACTAAAACGTCAATTTCACGAACGAACCCCGAATTATAATCCGAGACTGTCCTAATATCCCCTGCAGTATCCCCGTCAATATTAGTTCTAGGCTCCGGGTCAAATTCTTGATAAAAACACATCAAACCCTGGTCAGAGCTAAATTCAACGATTTGGACCCCGACCTAAATAATTGCCGAAATTCAGGGATTAGAACTAGAGGATTGATTACCTCGTTGCAGGAAGCTCGTATATGAAATTTGGGCTCAATCTGGCTTCCGGATACTCCGAAACCCTAATTTGGCTTATCGGGAATTCAAGAAATTACTGAACCAAAAACTCGTTTTAAACCAAAAAGGGAGGGGGAATGGGGTTTATATAGGGACGAAACCGCATCACCTAAAACCGCGCCTCCAGCGCGTGATTTGCGTTCCCCAACATTCAAACCGCGCTTCGGGGGAGCGATTTGACTAAGCGACACGGATCGCTGACCTGACGAGTGGTTTGGCCGTCAGATCGCTCCCCCATCGCGCGGTTGCATGTACCGCCACAGGGCAACGCGGTTTGACAGCCAGGAAGGGTCAAACCACGCGTCCCACAGGCGGTTTGACTTTTAACCGCGCCTTGGAGGCGCTTTTAGCTTTGTAACCACGCCTTCGAGGTGCATTTTGTGTGGAATGGTGGTATTTTTGGAAATTGTTGAGTATGGATGGTATTTTTGTAATTTTTTTTATAGTGGTAGTTTTGGATTTTTTCCAGAACGCAGTCCTTGTGGGTGTGTGGCGGAACCTTCAACATCGATTGAAGTTATGATCTTGAGCAGCAGCAGCTGCGTTGAGATCAAGCGCCGGAAAGGCGGGTTCTAGACAGGCGAAAAGGAGAGAGAGGGATAGATGGGTCGACTCATAGGTTGGTTGGGGTTTAAGAATTGGGTTGGGAAAGATGACATGGCGGTTGAGTGACGTGGCGGGTCGGGTTTGGTGATGTGGCGGGCGAAAAAAGGGTGAGTCAGCACTTCTGATAACCATTTAATCAATTGTAGAGGTGGCAATTGGATAGGATTCGTGGATTGGATCAAATGGATCTTGGATTCGTGGATTGGATTCAAGTGGATCCATGGATTCGTGGATTGGATTGAAATGGATCGTGGATCCGTGGATTGGATTCATGGATTGTAGGTTCGTGTAGACTGTGTAGAGCAACACTGGTGTGGTGATCCTTCGCCTCTGCTCTGTTATTTTTTTTCGCCTATACCAGCAGCTCCGACAGCTTGTAGGTTCGGGATACGCGGTCAGATTGAAGGACACGCGGCCGCCGAATCCTGCCTCGGTGGCGATCGGATTGCTGACGGTCTGGAATTTGGCCTCGTCGGTGAGGGAGTTGAGGGTGTCGGATTTCGGAGAGGAGAAGGCAGAGTCCGAGGGGGCGAAGATGGTGGCGCCGTTGTTGGATTTGTTGAGGAGGGTGAAGAGGTGGTTGTCTTCCTGTGTGGATCGGAGGAGGTGGATGAAGGTGTTGAAGTGGCCGGCTTTCTCGAGGATTCTGGTGACGGTGGAGCTGGGAGTTGTGCCGGCGGGGTTGCTGTTGGTGGCGGTGCGGCAGCAGGGGATGATGCAGGGGATTGTGCCGGCGGGGTTGCTGCTGAAAACAGAGTGCTCTGTTTCTTCATCATCTTGATGATGGGTTAGTTTCGTGACTATGGCACCCAGAACTCTCAGCCACAGTGGCCACGACAGACATCGCCACCACTGAACCCACCGCCTTTAAGAACGTCGGTTTGCAATTCACCACGGTCCGTGAAGAACTCGATCTTCAGTAGGTTCCCTTGAAGATGATTCCCTGTTTCTTGTAAGGTGGTCGTTTTCCTACCGTTAACGCTTAGGGTGATTCTTTTGGCTTCCATTGACTTGTAATCAGCTGGGTTAACCTTGTGCATGAACTCCATTTCGTAGTTTTTCACCAGGTTATGCAACTTTATCTTCTAGGGAACCTGCTGGCCATACCTTCACATTTCATTGGTTTTCGTTTTGGTCCAAAATGAAGAGAGGGAAACTTATGAGACTCACTGACCAATGATAGTGTATAAGGAAATGAAAGAAGATCCCCATTTTATAGTGACTATGGTGGAGGTAGAAAGATTCATGTTCTTACAGAGCAGAGTACATGATAAAAATTAAAAGCTTAATACTTTCATGAAATGGATCCCCATAAAATTGATGAACTCCATTCTGCAGCTGCTAAATCTCCTTCTCTCACACACCAAAACTAGCAGCAACAGAACACTGAATCTCCTTCTACCAAACACCAAAACTACAAAAGCCTACTTATAACAACAATTCACAAAAGTGGTACATATCAAACCCAAATATGAAACACACATATCAGAGTTTCCATCATCTACATAAGTGCATCATCTCATCATCAACAGCATAATGCTACGTCTCCAGCAGCTCCATCTACACCAGAACATCAGCTTTAAATAGTGGCACTTCATGCACAATTATCATTCATCTGAGAGAGGAGTACAATCAGAGGCCACCGAGGATGCTCCAAATGTCTTCGAAATCTTCACCTCAAGTCCATTATCATGATCACCGCCTAATTCAAATGTAACTTAATAATGTATTAGATTGAACCAATCATAAAGCAAAATATATATACATATGTTATTGATTAACTTACTTGGAAATCCGTATAACCAATTACGAGTGGTAATTAAGGCTTCGGCATTTTCAGGCAAAAGAGAGCTCTGCCAACTGCTTAAAACTCTTCCGCCCATACTGAAAGCCGACTCTGATGCTACGGTTGTGATAGGAATGCTCAAAATATCTCTGGCCAAGTGAGCAAGCTCAGGAAATTGAGATTCATTGTTCTTCCACCAAACAAGAACATCCAATGGTTGTTTGCGCTTGAGTCTCTTATCATCCAGATATTCATCTAATTGTGTTCTATCGCCTAAGAACTGATTTTCCCCAAATGAATCAAACTCCTATAAAACAAATAGCTCATATTAGTAAATAGAAAATGATTAAAAAGAAAAATGAAGTAACAGATTTACTTACTTCCATATCATCTCCATAGTCCACATCTTCATCAATATTCTCAGCAAATGATGGAGATTGATCACCGGGATCACCATAAACCTTGAGTAGATCACATATATTTCCTTGGAGCTCAGAACACTTTGATTTAGCAACATTTATATCCCCATACAACTTCTCATAACAAAACTTCACAGAATCCAACTTGTATCGTGGATCAAAGACCACTGCCATAGAGAGAATAGTACTATAGGACTCCCAGTACTTGTCAAATTTTTCCTTCATTGCTGAAGCCATATTGCGAATATCACTATCCATACTTCTAGATGCCTCCATCAACCGCATTTGAATCCTCCATACATTGCAGAAATACAAGTTCGAAGTAGGATAATGAACTCCAGAAAAAAGGTTTGTGATGTCATCAAATGGTTTCAAAATCTTCTTAATTTTCTTGATCTTTTCCCATTCGACATCTGACGAAAATCGTTCAAAGTTTCTATCAACCAACTTCAAATGCTGAAAAGCACGACGATAGAGCTCAGCCCTTTCAAGCATCATGTATGTTGAATTCCACCTAGTCGGACAATCTAACCACAACCCTTTCGAGTTTAAACAGTTGCTTCTTTTGGCACAATATTCAAAGACAATCATTCGAGATTCAGATCCCTTAACATATTTCACCCACTCCCTAATTACATCTATCGAAGCACGAATCTGTTTTAACCCTTCATGCACAATCAAGTTTAGAATATGGGCACCACAACGAACATGAAAATAATTCCCATCACATACCAACCCATCATCTTCTTTCAATTGATCGATCAACAAACTTTGCATGACATCGTTGCATCTAGCATTATCCAATGTTATCGAGAAAACTTACTTTTCAATTTGTCACTCCTTCAACAGATCAATACACAACGTGAAACAAAACTATTGCACTATGTGGAGGGGCAATGTGACAGAAGTTCAAGATCTTAGTATTTAACCTCCATTCAGAATCCACATAATGAACAGTGAGACAAAGATAGCCTTCTGTAGCACAAGAAGTCCACAAATCACAAGTCAAACATAGCCTACCAGGAACCTTGCTCAAGATAGTTTTCAACTTTTCCTTTTCCCTCTTATAAACCTTCAAACAATGAGACTTAGTAGTGTTCTGAGTAAATGACTTAAAACCATCATTCAAGTATGCCATCACATTCTGAAGTCCACCATGCTCAACAATTGCAAATTCATATTCATGCTTTATGATAGCCATAGCCATTAGCTCCTTAAATTTATTCTGATCTATTGCTTTTGAGTTTCCAATAGCCAACACTGGCACTTCAGTTGCATGTCCAACACAGTTAAGGCTATGACGAGTGAGATTAGAAATACCTTTATTTACCACATAAAGCATGGGACAGTTTTTGCATTGTGCTCTAGGCTTGTTGTCTGCAAATTGGTTCCCAGGGATATAATTAAATGTATCCCATGCCTTAGAAGTTCTTTGCCGCTTTTTTTTTTATTTCTTGTTGAACCCCTAGACGTCAACACCGTTGCTAAATCTTCCTCATCTGCAGAACTACCACCATCAACATTGTTCCTCACATTTCTTTGTTGACTTGACATCAAAGTAGCCATTAGTTACCACTGGAATCAGCCAACTGTTGGCAGAGAAAATGCAGAGCAGAATTAGTTACCACTGGAATTGGACAACCATTACATCAAAACACAAGAAAACAAATAATTGACATGAATTTTATATAGCGAGGTACTATTTCAGGAAGTAAGAACCACGACAATTGGGATCCAAGACTCGGACTCCAGCAAATCATGCTTTATGTAATATGTTTAGTACTCAGCAACCAAAACTATGGAGTAGCCAAACAAGGTTCATGAATAACAGACGGAGCTGAAAAGAAGGTTTGATCTTAAAATTATGATTGCACAGAGTGCAGTTACAGGGAACTGAAGCTCTATCAGAGTATAACACTTCTACTATTATTCTGTTTTAGCAACCTTCTTCTTTGACCTGTGTTTTTGTGCAAAATTCAGACAGGCATGGATGGATCCAGAGGTAAGAGGCTCAATTTTCATTATTGAGTGGATAGTGGCACCTTGAACAGTTGAATCTGTTCCTACTTTGTTGCCTCTTGACCTTCTTATCAAATGGAATGCATAACATCTTGATAAAGACAGCCATCAGTAAACGGTAGAAGGAACCATACTTACCAACTTCACCAGAAACAAGAAACCCAGCAGTATACCAACTAAATTCAACAAACAAAGCACATATATGCTCTTTTATCAACAAAAAAGATCAACCCACTTCACCAAATCAGTGAATAACCCGACCATGTATTAAAGTGGGAGTGCTGCTAGGCTAATGGTAATTTAATTCAAGAGATAAGACCTGAGTCACCTGACCCTGTATTAGACCAGATTCAAGGGTTGAATCGACTAGCGAGCAAAAGCTTTGTTGGGTTTCTGTGAAGTCTCTTCTCTACGAGACCTGAAACCCGACAAAACTAACCGCCATTAGAGGGGAAAAAACTCATAATCAAGACTTCCATGGCGAGTCTACAAGATGTGGAACTGGGTATTTCTTCTAAGAGTTTTGTAACCCAGAAATCAGGAAAACCATAGAGAACTACTCTACAAGAAGTGAAACTGCCATGGCGAGTCCTAGAGTCTGAAATTGGGTATTGAATAAAGGAAGAAAGAAAAAGAGAGAGATCATCAAAAACCTTGGAGGCGATAATCATTCTTCGGTTCTCGTCAAACATATCAAAAGTTTCTTCGAGGGTTTGGGCGAATTGAGTGATTGGCGAAGCTGGACGGGAAAGGGTGGAGAGAGAGAGAGAGAGAGGCGATAAGTCGATAGCTGAAGTTGGTGAGGAGGCGGCGAGGTGGGTTTCAGATGGAAAGGGAGGCGGCAAGGAAGCCGCTAACGAAGACCTTGGGTGAACGGCAGTCGACAGTCAATCGGCTATGGCTAAGGGTTTCTCCGGAGTTGCCGACTCTGTCGTCCATCCAAAGGGTTAAGGGTTTCTTTTGATTTTTACACTGAACAGGTTAGGCTAATGGATTGGTGGATTAGTGATGGACCCATGAATCCAATCCATCAATTCATGGATTAAATGGATTTGGACTATTTGGATTTGGATCAATTTAAATGGATTTGGATCCAATTTAAATGGATTGGATTGGATTGGTGGATTGGATTAATATTGCCACCTCTAATCAATTGACTAGCAATGTTAACAAAACTAATGGAGAGTGACTAAACATGTCATGTTTTACTAATTCGAGTGACCAACATTGATATTATTTTTTCTAGTAATTAAACGTGACACATTTTAGTAAACACAATGACTAAACGTGACATTTACCAAAAATTATATAGGCCAACTTCATGCGAACATGTTGAAAGATGATTAGCAAAAGAAAGCTAAGTTGTCTAATGCTTGGCCCGCCCAACTAGAAACTAGTAGAACTAGACTTGATAAAAAGAAGAGTTGGACCTACAAGTCTAGTTAGGTCAAATTGTTGCAGACTCCTCTCTGTTAGTTATAGGCACGGTAGCCGAGTTGAATTGTCTAATATAAGTATTGCTTCAAGGCAAATTCAGAAAAGAAAGGGAGAAACAGGGATAGTAGTCAGAACAACAGAACAACTAATGTGCTGCTGGCTGCTGCTAACGCATAAATTGAGATCTGTCTTCATCTCTCTCTCTCTCCCACAGGATACTTTCTCAAACGCTACTCTCTTTATGAATGAAAGAAACAGAAACCCAATCGGCATACAGTCTCCTGTGAACCAAAAAAATCAGTCTTTTTTTTTTATGATATTGGTTTTGGTCCTCTTCTATTTGTTCTCAATAGCCAGCTACTATTATATGCTGGAACTGTTCTTCCTTTCATTACCATCATGACAAAATGCAAGAGGGAGTAGCATTAGCATAGCATGTGTATGGATACAATGTATGTCCTTTGATAAAAGTAGGTGGTCTCATGTGTCTTTCTCGATGGGGTGGAAAGTAAGCAAGCAGCATTAAAAATCAGCTACTAACATGAATTGACAACTGATTTTGGAAGCAAAGCAGACAACACAACAGAGCACAGGCATTGCATAGAAAGAGGGGAAAATGGGAGAGCCAAAAAGGCACCAGACCATCCTCTATCCCTCCCAGTTTATTAATAATGTCCCGAAATACTAAACTTTCAATTTACAATTGATACTGCTCTTATTAATTGAAAAAGGCCAATAATTGCAGGCCAGCTGTGGGAGGCAACGACTACCCTTTACTTCATTCTGAGCAACAACGATCAATACTATTTTGTTTCTTTCTAGTACAATGCCATATGCCTAGGCTATGTATTGATGCAGCCAGCCTCCTCTGCCTCTCCTTCCTTTTACTGATGAGTCTCTACTCAGCAGTTAATATGCAGCAGTGGGCACAAGAGAGAGAGAGAGAGAGAGTTCCTTCGTTGCTCCCGAGCCCCTGCCATGCCGCCCTATATTGCCACCAGCTGTGAACCTAACAGACTCTACTGCTTCTTATGATACATCTATGTCTATAGCTTTCTGACCAACTACTTCAGCTATTCTCTTTTAGCTTTTCCTTTCCTTTCCTTTCCTTTCCTTTCTTCTTCTCCTCCTCCTCTCTTTCTCTCTGGCTCTTCTTATTCCCTTAGCTGTCCACCCGCGTGATGCTTTTTCTCTTTTTTAGTTACTGTTCCAAGAGCCAAGAGGTGGGTTATTGACTTATTGTCTTTATGCTTCTCTTCATTTAACACCTGTCTCAAATGCACCCCAATCCCCCCCCTCCCCCCCCTCTATATATTTGCCTCTAACCCCTTCACTGCTTCTTTATAGAGCCTCCTAACCCATGTTTCTATTCTTTACTTCCTTCTCCTTGCCATTCTACTACTGCCTTCTTGTTTGCCTTTGAATTCCAATCGTCACTCTAGGAAGAATGCCACCTGCTCTGTAGTTCCTTCTATTATCTGCATTTCTTGTAGAGTGCTGTTGTAGTTGTTTCTTGTTGTGTTTCTTTAAGTAACTTCTGCAACATGGAACTCAATGCAATGTATCTAAATCTTTAAATCCATCGTTTATTCATCTTCATTCATACATTGATAAAATTCTTGCATTTGTGTGATCCCCATTCTCTAGAAACCCTGCTATGAACATTCCATGATCCATATGTGGGAGGAGTTGACTTTATTTTTGTGAGTTTTCTGGATATCGACATATCCATCCAAGGAGCAAGTCCACAAGGGAAAAAGTGAAGCTGCCAGCATGATCTAGCTTTGGCTAGTTGCTAAAATTAAAAAAGAGCTAGCTAAGCTAACCCTAGCTAGGTCATGCTCTGACAGCCTCATTCATTCCCAATTGGGGACCCAGAGTTGATGCGGATTCATGTACATACCTATAGTCACGTTGTTTGGAGGCTTATACTATGCTTGGAAGAGAAAAGAATAAAGGTTACCATGAAACAGGAGGTACACAGTAACAAACAAATCATTGTATATGTATGTAAATATTCCCTTCCAAGTTTTCTCCCATGGGGGTTGTCTGCCATGCGTGTACTTTTGTAACTGTTTCTTTCTCGTCTTTCTAACGTGGATTTGTCTCTTTCAGTTTGCTCGCCATACTGTGTTCTGTTTCTCTTTGTTCTTCTGTAGCATGGCCAGCGGATTGAACGCACATAATGCAACGAGCAATCTCAGGTTGCTGTGTGGATGGTATGTTAGTTCGGGAAATGGCAGTGGCAACCATGAAGGCAAAGAACCAAGAAGAAGGTTCAGACGGTTAAGTTCCAAAAAAATAAAGAACTCGGAAGATATACCGACTGGTCTTTCGAAGTACGAAGTTTCTTTCCGCGCTGTAATAATCGAAGTGATGTGGATGTAGTTAACTGGTTGGAATTATTTTTTCTCTGTTTTCTTGGTGCAGATGTTTAATGTGTAACTTGTCGTTTTCATTAATTCGTCTCACATTTCGTTCAACTGGACTCGCTCTAATATCATATTTTCGTGGAAAATAGTTTATTTTTGCATGCCTTAATTTATGCAGCTGGATTCATTAGGATTTTTTCCCTTAATTAATACAGTAAAAATTAAACAAAATTCCTACAATACATCACTTTTATAAAAAAAAATCAAAATGTCAAAGTTTGACGCCAAGTTTTCAGATCGATTGCCAAATTATAGATCCACGTGCATAGAGTGGCACGACCATGATTGGCTGAAACCTGACGAGGCGGATCTAATTTATAAGACTCGATCAATTTTCAGAATCATGGTGGTGGAAGGGACGGGTTAGCATGCTAATCCCTTAAGTGGTTGGCTTTTTGACAGCTCTTTTAATTGGTCAATTTTTCATTAATTATTGGCAAGTATTAATGAAAATAAACATAATAAATGTTTTGTTATTAAATACAAAGTAAACATTAAATACACCACATTAATTACTTGTTTTTAAAAAAAATATAAACATATACAAAATACAGTTCTCTCTCTCATCTTTGATCTTTCATCCGACCACCACACTTCGCCGGTAAAATCCGCCGACAAATTCTCTCCGGTCACATGCAAAAATATACCACTGCACTGATATGTTGTACCACTTTACTGGTATTTGTATCACTGCACTGATACTCAGATAGGACATTGCTACCAGTGCACTGATATCGCTACCAGTGCAGTGGTATATCTACCAGTACAGTGGTACAACGTATCAGTGCAGTGGTATATTTTTTGGAGGTGGTCGGAGGGAGTCTGCCGATGGGATTTTCACCGGAGAAGTGTGGCGGTCGGAGGAAGTCTGGTGGTCGGAGACTGCTGAAAAAGGAAAAATCAAATATAGTGAGAGAAAATGTATTTAGTGTAGGTTTTAATTTGAAAAAAACAAATAATTAATATGATGCATTTAATTCCTAATGTGTATTTAATGTGTGTATTAAATTCTATAGTTGTATTTAATATACTGGGGGTGTCATTTTTCCAACCCCTAAGGGGGATTAGCATGCTAACCGACCCCTGGGTGGAATCTCCAAAATCGTGATCGTGATTCATGGCTATGACTTTGCCACTGTATGGTATAAAAGATATTTTTTTCAAATTTCCAAAGGGGAAGTTAAGTTGTGAAAAATAAATTAGAAAAGAAACGAACCCTAGAGAGAGTGAGACTTTTGAGAGTTCTTGGAGCAATTTTGGGAATTTCTTCACCTTTGGAGCTCGACTAACAAGTTTAGAAGAGGAGATAGAAGATCAGACAATGATATTGTTTGTGCCTAGTAAATACTAGGCGGTTTGTAGGGCAATAGCGAGGTGTCTGTTCTTGGATGGAGGGTGCACTCTTGATCCCTGCAAACAAGGGTCGGTGGGCGGTTGTCCAGGACACTCTCCAAAGTTTAAGTTAGATAGAGAAGTGTTTGAGAATGTGTTTATTGTAGAGAGAGATAGAGAGAGTTGTTGAGTTTACCTCCAATGCTCTCATGGTGCATTTAAACCTAGTATGGTGGTGGGTAAGAGATTAAATGCTACTCCAGGCGTCCCGAGCAGGCCTATTCCCTATGTGGACCGCATGCGGCGGGCAATAAATGCTCTGTCTTAACCAACCTGAGGTACATATCTCAATGGATCTTTACCTTTCTGTCGTAGTCAATTGCTTTATGTCAGGCGCCCTAGCTACTCCTTGGGTTTAGAGTCGGTCCAGGACCGCCTGCTATCCTCGTCTTCCTGGCCGGGCCAGATACTCTACTGGGCCTGGTTCGCTTACTCGCTTTTCCTGAGCCCCGAGGCCCAAGTACGCTCAACTACGCGGCCCAACAATTGCCCCTTCGGCAGGAAAAGGCTAGGTTTTTAGCAGCTACTGAGAACATTCCTAGCTAGTTGAGCAGTTCACGCCTCGTTCATATCCTGCCTTGCCCCTAGTCGTTGAAGACCTTGGGTCGACCCGCCTAGGCCTTACCTTGACCGCCTTGTGGGCTTTTTGATTGGAGAAGCGTCGTCAAGTGGCGAGGCTTAGTTTCCTAGCTCTGACAACAGGCATGATAGCTGTCCTTCGTCCATGCTTCTCAGGATCTTTTTCAATGATAGGTTTGAAAGGATGGTAATCTGGTGCCCCTAGAAATAGGGACGCAACTTCCTCGCTGCGGAGACAACTGCCAGGACCGCTTTTTCGATTGGCATGTTGCGCTTCTCTGTCGGGAGAAGCGCCTTGCTTACATAGTAAATTGGATGGTCTGAGCCATCCCCGTCTCTTCTTACCAGGACTGAACTAACCGCCTGCTCCGAGACTGCCAAGTAGAGATATAATAGTTCTTCTCGGAGGGGGGGGCGCTCAGGACTGGTGGTGAGGCCAGCTGCTCCGTTAGCTGGAAAAAAGCTTTCTCACATTTCGCGCACCATTGTAATCGAGACGCAGATTTCTTTAGCATTTGACCGACAAAGAGTGCTCGGATAACTCCCTCGAGACGCAAGGCATGTCTTCTGAGGTCCATGCGAATAGGTCTTTGTAGTCCCTTAGGAGGGATAAGAGCTCCCTGACCCGTTCTTCTGAGAGATGGGACGAGATTCTTATTTTTTCTCCGGATCTTCCTCGTCGAGGACCACGGTCGCGTCCTCCTCAGCTGTCTCAGGATGTAGGTGACTTCCACGCGTGTCTACTTGATCGACCTCTAGATTTCTTATCGTGGCTTGGTAGCACTCCTTCGCTTGTTGGGAGTCTCCACGAACACATCCCACTCCTCCTTTCGTAGGGAATTTGAGCATCTGATGGCAAGTGGAGGGAACCGTCGAGAAAGTCGATAAGAAGTCGCGCCCGAGGATGGAGTTGTACGCGGGCAGACATTCAACCACGTGCAAATTCATGAGGCGCGTCTTTGTTACCCCCGCGCCTCCTACTGTTACCTGGAGCGTTATGTACCCCAGCACTCTAACCTTGGATCCAGAGAAGCCCACCAGGCTGGTGGTGGACGGTTTGAGGTCCTGCATTCCCTTCTTCATATTTTTTAAGGTGGAGTAGAACAAAATATCTGCTGAACTTCCATTGTCGACCAATTCTCTGGTGACTTTGAACTTCTTCGTTCAGAAAGAGATGACTAGTGAGTCTTCTCCGCACTCCTCGGACGCCAGCTCCGAGGGCGCGAAGCTAATCTCAACATGTTCATTTTTGTGCACATTAATGCACTGGACTAACCGCTCACCTTTGGTTCGAGGGCGCTTGTGTCCTCCCGCGATTGTAATGACCTCCACATCATCCTCGTCAGCGCGAGTTTGACGGCGAGGGGGTGCATGTCTAGGGGGAGGTGACAGGCGCTCTCGTCTTGGCGACCGCTCTCTCCGAGGAGATCTAGATCTCCGACGTAGCGGCATTCGGGACCTTCTCCTTGGACTTGGCGACCTGTCCCTTTCTTCCGCCCGGTTCCTGCCATGCGTCTGTGTGTCCAGGCGACTCTTTAAGTCTCTCGGGGCTAGGTACTTGAGGCTGGCTTTGAACTCGTGACACTCTGTGGTGTCGTGAGTCGCCAGCTGGTACCAGTCGCACCACTTTTCATTATCCTTCCTTCTTTGCCGGGGGTGCCTCTCTTTTGAGCTGGCCCCTTCTCGATGCCCATCGTCCTCCTTTTCAGCGGCGAACAACTCTCGCCTTCCCTCTCGGTTGTTATATCGGGGTTTGTAACTGCGCCTATCGGGCGTGCGCCCTCTTCTCTTCGGCGATCCGGTCCTTCCCTTATATGCCTACGTGGTATGGGCACGTGCTCTCTTGGTGCCGTCTTCTGCTGTTAGCGCCTCTTCCAAGAAAATGGTCTTCCTCACCAAACGATCTAGGTCTGGCCAGGACCCTATGTTGTTTTTCTTCTTGATGAGCGCCCTTTTTAGCTCTCGACTGTGTGTTGACACCCTCAGGTTTCTGGTGGCCACACTAGTCGATATGTCTTGGACCTCGCACGCTATCGTGTTCCACCGGTCGTTGAAGTCCATCAATGTTTTATCTTCTCCTTGCTTGCAATTCATGAGCGCTGACACTGTCAGCTATCTCCTTCGATGTGGCGCGAATTTTGACGAGAACAAGGTGGCGAACTGCTAGAAGTTCTCGATAATCCCTTCTGGTAAGGACGCATACCAGCTTCGACACTGGCCGCTGAAGGTGACCGGGAACATCTTGCACATGTCTGCATCTGAGGTATTTATCAACTGCATCTTGAGCATGAAGGCGCTTAGGTGGTGCGTGGGATCTGAATTTCCATTATAGGCAGGTAGCCCCAGCGACGAGAAGTTTGAGGGCACTTGAGTATTTTGAACAAACTCTTTGCCAAGGGGTTCTGCAGCACATTGTAGGCCTTTGCCTTCCCGTAGGAGGGTCGCAAGTGTTCTTCCAGGAAGTTGAGGTGTTCGCCTTCCGCTCCATCCTCTTCTTCTGATTCCCCGCCTTTTGTCCGAGCAGGGCTGACGGGAATCTCTCCGTCTACTCCTTTGCCTTTGTCTCTCTGTCTGCTGGCGCTTTCTGGTTCGTCTCTGGCTCTGAGCATGGCAAGTATTTGACTTAGGCTTTCCTGCATGCTAGAGATTTGCTGGCCTTGATCTTTCACGCGCTCCTCCGTGTCTCTTTCTTCCTCGACCGTCGACATTTCCAGGCCTCGGATGCTTTCCCTGCCGACCATGTCCTACACTGGTGTTCTGGAGCTCCCATCCATCCTTTCTTTGGTGCTTCACTTATGCCCCACGGTGGGCGCCAAATTGTTTGTTCCTAGTAAATACTAGGAGGTTTGTAGGGCAATAGCGAGGCGTCTGTTCTTGGATGGAGGGTGCACTCCCGATGCCTTCAAAACAAGGATCCGTGGGCAGTTGCCCAGGACACTCTCCAAAGCTTGAGTTAGATAGAGAAGTGTTTGAGAATGTGTTTATTGTATAGAGAAAGAGAGTAGTTGAGTTTACCATCAATGCTCTCATGGTGCATTTATACCTAGCATGGTGGTGAATAAGACATTAAATGCTACGTCAGGCGTCCCGAGCAGGCCTATTCCTTATGTGGACCGCCTGCGGCGGGCAATAAATGTCCAGTCTTACCCAACCCGAGGTACGTATCTCAACGGATCTTTACCTTTCTGTCGTAGTCAGTCGCTTTATGTCAGGCACCCTAGCTACTCCTTGGGTTTAGAGTCAGTCCAGGACCACCTGCTATCCTGGTCTTCCTGACCGGGCCAGATACTCTACTAGGCCTAGTTCGCCTACTCGCTTTTCCTGGGCCCCGAGGCCCAAGTACGCTCAACTACGTGGCCCAACAAATATTATCTGTCATGAGTTCTTCTTTTCCTTTGTAATTTCATCTCTCTATATGAAGAAAACTCTATTTTCACTTGGGTATAGGAACCCTAGTCATGATTTGTTGAATTGGTGATTGTATGGATGCTTTGACTTGTTGAATCATAGTTTATATCTAATCAATGCATATTCATTGAAATATCTTTGCTCTGATAAAGTATTGATAATTTCTGCTTTGATCCAGGAGAGAGAATATCTTATTAAGTTGATAGAGCTAACATTGATTGGAAGTATGGGGTCGATTGCAAGAGAGTGAGTTGATTCATTGCTTTGTATTGGGTATCAATCAATAGAGGAAGTCTAGATCAAATTGCTTTGGTTGGTTGTCTTAGTGAGGATAGAGTCCCTCTAAGCAATCGATCCAAGAGGGTCTTGATTGCTTTAATTGAGATTCAAGACTTGTTAAGCACTCTTTGCATTTGAATAATGAGTGAAATGAGTTAAAGAACCATTAATCATCAATCCGGCTAGTGGCTAGAGGGAATCAATGGCTAACTGATATGTCTTAATCTTGAACTTATTCAAATCATTCATTTTATTGTTTATTTTAGTTGTTTTTCAAGTAATCGTTTCCAAACCTAATTTGTCTAGATAATATACTGAAGGTGAGTAACATTAGTTTTAGAGACCCGTGAATTTAATAATTAAAATTTGTTGTCGCTATATTGCGATCTTGTCATTGTTCCACTTAACAATGTCAGGAGCGTTACTTTTAGCGATTCACCTACCGCATAGAAAACAAGATAATATAGTACAGTATAACTAGAGGTTATGCATGAGAACCCAAGCAAAAAGATAAATGACATTATATATTTTTGGGTTGCTACCACTAGGAAACCCGAACTATCAAGATTGTGTCATTTGTGTTCTAAACTATCCAATATGACATTTGTGTCCCAACCTATGAAAGTTGTGTGTCATTTATGTTCTGACGATTTTTTTGACCGTTATATATAACGGTTGACCAGATGGTGGTCAACTTGATGTTGACTTTTGCTTACGTGGTAAACATGTGGCAGCCACGTAGATGCCATGTCATTGGAACCTCATATTTTTAATTCAAAATTAAATAAATAATAAAATTGAAAAACTAAAAAAATAAAAAAAAAAACTCACCCGTATTAATCATCCAAAATTTTAAAATAAAAAAAATACCAAAACAATTGAAAATCCCCGTCGCTGTCCATAAATCCCCTCCGCGAATGGATGCTCTCCCCACCGCTGTCAAGCAATCACGAACAATCAATCCTCGCCGCCGCTTTCAATCGAAGAATGCAAGATGACCCCAACCCATATCTCCGACGAGGAAGCCAAAATGTTCGCTATGCAGCTGGCCAGCGCCTCCGTCCTGCAGACATCGTTGCCCAGCTCCCCACCAAGAACCCAGTAGCCCCCGACATGCTCTGTCACATCTGCCGCCTCCTTGCTTCCTCCTCTGTCTCCGTCTCCAACCCTCAAAGTCCACCGTCACAATCATCAAAGTCCGCGGCCCATACTCGAGTCTCCGCCATCTCTGCTAGTAAGGCGTCGCACTCTACGATGGGGATTTCTCCAGAGGCACATTTACAATCGACGACAGAGGTTGGGAGACAGGAGAGGGAAGGGGAAATCCCCAAATCGATTAGTTTACATCATGTTAGTGAGGGCTATAGAGTAAGGTTTCACACTTCTCTCACTAAAGATTCAAATTCTATCCCTTTCTCTATTCCTTTACTGTGTTTCAAAAGGGTGCCGCCGACACTCAGACTGACCGGAGGCAGCCAAAAACTTAATATAGGTCCCCAGCCTTTCCTTCCCCTTTTCCCTTGTTTTATTTTCCTATTTAGCATCATATCTTTTCAGATCCTATTCTTTTTGGAATTTGATTGGTTTGGCATTTTCCTCTGCATGGGTTCTTCTTTGTAGAGTTGGCAGATAAACCCACTGAATTGGTTATCCATCCAAACCGGTCAAAGTGGACAAAACCCGCATCGACATGATTCAGTCGGCTGCGGACAAAACCCAAAAGTGAAGTTATCAATACGACAGGGTATATATATTATATACCAAGTACCCAGGTACCCCCTCTTCCCCAGACTTCTTTAATCCTTTTCTCACTCTCATCCCCATCCCATCGTCACCAAACTCCGTATTATGATTCCCAATCCTCATCCATTCCTTTGGCTCTTCTTCTTAGAGATTTTTCTCAAACCCAAAAGCTTTTTACCACTGATGAAAAAGTGACAAATTATCTGTTATTCTATCGTTTTGCTTATAGCACATAGTCTTATCTCTTTAGTCTTTATAGTAAAAGCAAGTATATCCCAAGAGACATAGAGATATAAGAGAAGGGTTTTGAATAATTCAATGGCATCCATAAGTTTGAATTGACAAGAATTTTAGTGAAATAGACTCGTATTGGAGTACTTTTTCTTGTCTTTTTAGTTTATTTTCAAGGCCTGCTACTCTCCTTAATTATATGTAGATATTTTGGAGTTTACAAGGATGTTGGTTTCTTGGATGGAATCTTAGAATGATTAGGTATATAACATATCTGTTTGAAAATTTTCATAACGCGGAATTGACATAACACACAAGATTTTACGTGTTATCCCTGTTTGGCGTGAACAGGACTAATCCACGATGAGCTTAAAAGAGCTCACTATTGACGATTTTATTAGAGGACTACATTGTGACGGTCTGATTACAACAAGACATAGCTAAACTTTATATAGAGATAGACGTAGGGTTAAAAGCCTAATGACAACCAAGTTCCTTCTTTTACATGAAAAAGAAACAAGGAATTTGGAGGACAAGGAATTAATTACTTGCACTAAGTAATTAATATTCGCAACACTCACCCTCAAGCTAAGACATGATTGACAAGAATGTTGAGCTTAAAACTGAAAAATACTCAAACAACCTCTTGCTGGAATGACAATCCAACAGGCTGTGACTTTGTTCACTTTCGGGAGAGGTAGACAAATGATGAAACTACTCCATGCTTGACCCAGTTCTTTTGACAAGGAACTCAACATTGTGAAATTCCTTGACGTCTTGGATGAGACTGATCCGACTCCATGCTCTACCTAGTTCAACAACATGGTGAAATTACCTTGACGTCTTGGATGAGACTGGAGATTGATGACTCTGTTACTGACTTTGGATACTTCTAACTGCGCTGCTGATTGTGCTTCTTCGAGCAACATGATTGATAGATACACGCGGTCGACTGAATGACTGAACTAGTTGACCTACGTGTGTTGATTCCCTATTCTCCCCCTCAAGCTGGAGCATGAAAGACGTGAATGCCCAACTTGAAAGATAAAATGGTGAACAATGAAAACTTACGGATTCTGGCCATTGAGGGGACGATCGCTTCATTGACCGTGACTGCCTCGCTTTGTGACATGACAAACTTTGTTGATGAAAGTTTTCCATCTTCCCAACACTAGCTATTGAAGAGACGACCACTGTAGATCACGATTGTCTTCAACGCCATGACTTTGATGTTGGTGAAGACTTTCTTAACCACACCGTATGTGAATTGATGACAATGAATTCAAACCCATCGTTGTAGCAATTGACATGGGATGCAAGAGACCTCAAAACTTCTCAATTCAAATATGTTATGGCAGAAAACTTTTGGACATGCTTCTGAATGCATCTTCTTGACAAGCTTTGTTGAACCTTGATTAAAGGCTTCATGCTTGACCCAAATGGCTTTCTCCACTTTATTCCTTTACCCGCGCATGTTCTCATCCCAAATCTCTGATTCAATCAACACAATGGCTCACAAAAACACTGCCAATACCCTCGGCTTCTCCAATGAAGTTCACGAGGAATGAAGCCCTTTCTTGAACAGGACAAACACCGAGGAAGAAAACAAGTATTAGCGGCCAATAAAACCAAGCATGGTGTCTTAGTTTCTCCCCTGTAAAAAACGACGACGGTGTGGCAAGAAGTTTCCGCCGATTGTAGATAATAACAGAGATAGAGACGCGCTCGATGCTAGAATCGCGAGCTTGCTGAGCGTGGCCTTCTAGTTGCCCTCAATGAACTGGGCATCAGAAGCAGACATCTTCACGAGATGAAGGAGATCGACTGAGCTGCAAGGATATAAGCAACTTCGGATGATGATTTTCCTTCAACGACAACTCGGTGATGGAAAGCGAATCAGAACTGGCAGCGATAATGCTGCGACGACTACGACTCTGGTACCATGAAGAATTTTATAACGCGGAATTCACTGTCAAAAGAACTGGTTCGAGCATGGATTAGTGTCATCATTTGTCTACTTCTCCCGCAAGAGAACAAAGTCACAACCTGTTGGATCGTCATTTGCCAACAAGAGGTTGTTTGAGTGTTGTTCAGTTTCAAGCTCGACATTCTTGTCATTCATGTATTTGCTTGAGGGGGAGTGTTGCGGATATTAATTACTTAGTCCAAGTAATTAATTCCTTGTCCTCCAAGTCCCTTGTTTCCTTGTCCATGTAAGAGAAGGAACTTGGTGGACAAAGAATTAATTACTTGGACTACGTAATTAATATCCAAAGCATTGTTGGTATATGGATACCCGCCTGTTATCCGCGGGTATGAGTATGTAAGAGATATATAATCCATTCTGTCGTATGGTACCCCCCAACTCCCCAATTTTTTTTATATGAAAGAGCATAGATAGCCGTTATTCGAACTCAATCTGATTGGTAGCTAACGCAACTTCTATGTGCCCCTTGTGGGTTCCTTTCCCATTCCCTTGTGTGAGTTATGTTTTTGCTCCTCTACTCTGTTCACCAGATCGAGAGATGATCCGATATAAGTGACATAGGAGACTGGTATCTTCATCATTAATCTTGTCTTCTCCTTCACTTTCCCTTCGTCTACCTCCTATTTGTTTCACCTTATATACCTTGGTGTTTCACAGATGCATTAACCCTAGGCTTGGACTCGGTTTGGAAGAGTTTGAAGACAAAGTTCATCACCCTATTCCGTCACCAACATTTAGAGGTGCTTACGGTGTTTGGCCCAAGAGGATTGTTTAGAGCCACCTCTCTTTGCTTGCATGCTTGCATAGACCTTCATCTGAGTTGGTTGGCACCAGCTCACATGCATGGTGCTTTATTGGCCCCTACTCCCGCGACTATGGCTGGTGGAAAGAGATGATGCCTGTTTTGTCCAGTGGTGATGGAGGATTTCAGAAGTGTGCACTGTGTGGCTAAGGTTAGAGTTGTTTGACCTGTGTTGTGGCTCCTTTTCTGGGCCCTATTAAATTTCTTGTCCTTTGTGTGGGCTTTGGTTTTGTTTTGTCCAACCCATGTCGTATAATCCTTGTGAACTTTTCAATTGAGTTTGACCCATATGCTATCTTAATGAACTGATATTTTCAACAACAAGAAATAGTGAACCACATAATTTCATGTATCTTTATTTTCTTTGCTTTATAGATTATCTGTCTATTAAAGTGTTTGTTTTTCATACAAGTTACGATAAACTATACCTAAATCATACATATTTAGTTTTTATTTATTTAAAGTTAATGTAGAGTATCCGTAAATCAGGTATCTCTTGATACAAGGTACAAATTTTCTTAGGATGTCAACAAAAATATATGTAAATTATGTATCTCTTGATACAAGGTACATATTTTCTTAGGATGTAAACAAAAATTGATTTTTTTTTTTTAGAATGAAACATTTTTAAATACTGTTTGGAGACAGTGAGAATGTGCAAGAATTTTTATCTAAGACATAAATATAACTTTTGAGGGACATGAATGACTAAAATGAGGAAGTGAGAAGAAATATTGGATAGTGATAGCAAATAATCTAATTGTTTCAAAGTGAATGCTAAAAGCATCAACTCCGCACCAAAATCATTACTTTTTTTTTTCTTGTAGCTCGACGAGAACCCACTGTAAAATTATATTGATAGGTTTTCCTAATAAAT